GGATGGCAGTGCATAACCCTGAGCCCTGGCGAGCGCGGCATCCTTGGTGGTCGGCCAAGGCGGATATGACGGTAATGTACGTTGCGGATACCAAGCATGGTTAGGCATTTTCGGGCAGCATGAGAGTCTCTGGAGATCGTCGCATCTTGCTAGCTCGTCTCCTATTCAGAAGCGACAAACACCCTCCATATAACCTCCTGGGAGCCCGCCGTTTCCTCAACCGTCTCTGTATTCAACTTCGCCAACTTCGCCGTCGGCCGAGACTTCCTCACCGGAGCCCCGATTGAGATTATTCCCCCCCACAAAAAAAAACCCTCCGTACTTTCGCTTTCCCGGAAGTATGTCCTTCTCTTTTTCGGGGCTGTAAAGCCTAAGGTTAAGACCAGGGTTAGCCATCGATCGTATTGCTGGCATTTTGACCCACTCTCGCTCGCTGACCAGCGAGCGGCCTTAAGGACGCTCGTCGAGCGTTGACGTATCGCTAGGTGGGTCGCTCGGCGAGAATGGTGATAGTTTTTGGTGTTTTGGTATTACTACATAACCTCGTCGTCCAGCCCTGAGAGGCCAGCTGCTCTTACAACAAGCCGCCAATCATTGTATCCACCAAATGGAGGGGAATTTGTGGTGTGTACACGCCATTCAGACTCCAAGACCGTATGCTCTGGGCCTGTGATACGATCCATCGGCTTAGGCGATTCCTCAACGGACTCAACATACGCCCTGCGCTGTTGAATTGACGCTCAGTCTCGCATGTTGACGGAGGTATAGTAAGGTAATCTATAGCCATATAGCTAAGCCGAGGAAAACGTCGCTGACCAACATCCCTCCACCATCGTATTGGGTTATCCTTGTATACTGCGATGTCGCAGACTGGCTCGGCGAGGTATAGATCGAGCTCATCTTCGATTGGCGGCAGCGGTTGGGTAACTTGGGCCGGACGCTTCGCCCTAGACTTGTATATCTTCGTCCTTCTTGTCGCCTGGGTATTCTGTATGCTTTGCGTACCGGGGTCGGGTATCGTGGAGTTGTTACTACGTTGCCTAAAGAATAGACGTCTTTGAGCAAAGCTCATCGAGGCCACGCTCTGCTCAGTTGGACGCTCGCTGGTAATTACGTCCCTATGGCACATCTCTAATTAGTCATTATCGCACAAGAGCACGCTAACTTACTTGGTACTATAGTTATTAACCCACTCCATCCTTAGCTTGCCCATTACGTCAGCCCTCCACGTATCTTGCTGCCGACAAGGTATCGACGACCAGGCGTCGTCGAGATGCTTCATCTTTCGGCAAGGATGGAAGATTACGGCAGCATAGTACGCGAGCCCCGTCATCTTGGTATAGAACTCGTCGAGCTTTTTCCAACCAAGACGCAAAAAAACCTGGAGTGTGCGGCGCGTTTTAAGGTCAAGTCCTGTAAAGAAATCGCGTATTAGTACTAGCTAAGGGAAAATTTAAGCGCCATACATTCAAAGATTGGGATATCTTCACCATTTAGCTGACCATTGTGAGACCTCTTTTCTATATAGACAACGCCCTCATTGGCAGAGCGCTTGAGATGGTCAAGCAAGATCTCGAATGAAGGGAAGTAATCCCATATGCCGCCGGCCTTGCCCTCCTCGTCATCGTTGACAACAGCGCGCGATTGCAGGCTTTTTGAGATAACTGCGAAGTCCCTTAATACGAGCTGAATAGCCCGGATCACGCGCCAATCATTGGTAGTAAGGCCATACTTGAGGATCTAATCAGGCTAACATTGTCATCGAAGAACAGGTCAACGTCATCCTGTAAATCGGTCGGAATTGGAGATTGCGAGGCATTGGCTTTATTGGCAATTAGTTAGGGGACTCTAACGGTCCTAAACACCAAAATAGGGTCACGATACCACTCTAGCTCCACTTTCTTAGCTTCAACCCCTATCAACAGGGCCCGACCCCTAGTAACTTCCAGGGGCACCCTACTCTCGCCGAGACTTAGCGAGCGATCCAGGTCAAGACCTCTCGCCGCGAGAATTTGCAAAGCCCTTATCACTCGTCGAGATCTTGAGTATGCCAGACCCACTCGGCGATACGCTCGTTCTTGGCGCCAAGGCTCGCCGATCCCCTCGGCGAGCGCTCGATCGATGGCTAACCCTGGTTAAGACTATAATTAAGGATAAGGAGTGTTGCGCTTCCATGGGCCACTTGCAAGTCCGCAACAGTGCCTTGGCATTAAATGAGACGGTGGCCTGGGTGTGTTTTATGAGGAAGGTGCCGCATTTTGAGGCGGTTATGCTGGATGAAGTGATGAGGGGGCGGTTTCTGGGGTCTGTGAAGAAGGAGACTCATTGGGGCGGGGAGGATGTGGTCATGAGTGATTTAAGATTGAGGAAGACTGAGGAGGAAAGATGCCATTGTGTGAAATAAGGTGAGATGAGATGTGAGTGATATTGTGAGAAGATTGATGATTATTGTGGGCGTTTAAATTATTGATATGGATGCAAAGCAGATATTTCTCTCTGCATGAAACGAGATATTGGACCGGCTGTCATTGCTGGGCAATTGTTTACAGCAAGAATGGAATTGTGCCGACAGGGAGGGCAAATTCTATTGTTTGAACAACCACTTGCTACTTCGTTATTATTTTGATCCATGTACTTTCTCACCACATTCTCGAGTGTACACCTCTGTCTACCCAAAGAGCTTTGGAGCCTGGCCGGCTCAGTCGTCAAACGCTCAACTCGTGTGGTCTCGTCTCGTCTCATCCACTCGCACCCAAATTACTGTTTACAAAGAAGTAAGTCAGCAAAATTTCCAACAACGTAGCGGTCGTATTGAAGATGGAAACTGCATCGTGTCCTAAATTAGGGTAATACTTGCACACAAGCATCATTTTCGCTGTCGATCCTCAGTTACATTACAGTTATTTTAGCCAAAAACATACTCTTTACCAGTTCCACTGCCCTCCTCGGCCACTGGAGGAAGAGATGTCTCACCGGAGCAGAGCATCACGATCGCCAGCGACGCGCTATCGCTGAGGAACCGGAGGGCCCTTCGATGCAGATACCGAAAGGGGGCAAGTATTTCGGCCTGAACCGACTGGAGGCGTCTACGCTGTGCCAGATCAGGACGGAAAAAATAGGACTAGCAGCCTTCTTATTCAAGACAGGGGCTTTTGGCGTGTACTCGCCGCTATGCCGCTGTGGCGACGCCCCTGAGACGGCAGAGCACGTAATCCTCTTTTGCGGGCTGTTGGAAGGACCGAGGGAACGATTACGGGCCGCTATCGCACCACGGCCACTATACTCTCGCAGAGACCTCGCAACGGCAACAGGAGAACCAGTAGTTAGTGGGACTATTGTAAGGTGGCTGCTAGGGACGGGTCGGACAGCTTCAAGGCCCAGATAGCATCGATCTTCTCAGGGGGGACTTAGTTGGTAGGTTGAGAACCAACGTAGTATGGTAGTGAACGCAACGCAGTAGCCCATAGGGCGAACCGACGACGCAGCGTATGTATTTAGTCCAGCCATTAGGGCACGGTTTGACATACGGGAGTACTAGTAGAGGTACCGGGGGCTTCGAGCCTACGGCGTATTTAATAATATAAATATATATTTCGATGAGATATTGGCTGTTACTCTATGACTTTTAGATGACGTAAACACTAAGCAGACGCTAGTATGCTGAATGTAAGCTTTGAGACTACACTGTTGTCTATGAGTTGTAAGTATGGATTATCATGTAAAAGTGACTATTTTAGACATGATAATGCGCCAGAGTGCATACTCGATCACATTCTAGGTTTTTATGTCTTCATTCAAGTTAACTATAGAAACTGGCCACTTGAACGTTCACGAGTGCCGAATATCCAGATCTATTAGAAATCGCGAAGACACCAACCTGAACTGCCGATTCGGGAGTATAAAAGCTACAGGTTTTACTACTGTATATGATCCTACAAGTTTCAAATGGAGTCTGACGCCCGGCTTTTAGTAGTCTTCATAACGTGCTATTAGATCAACTGAATGTTATGGTAATGGGACAATGTTTTTCTCCGTTGATAACTCAACGAATAACAGCTGTAACGGCAACTAAGGCCGTTCATTGGTCCCACAGACCACACCTTGTTATACTACTCTCAACTTCCCAACATTTTGAATTCTTGCATAGTTGAGATCGGATCCATTCATAGTTCCCAAAGCCATGGCTGTGCCTGCCACCGTCCGTGGAGGAGCAGGGAGCATTCTTGGGTTCCATATAAAGAGCCACGACTTTGACAGCGGCCGGAGTAACAGGGTCATGTGCTTGCTGTGGTCATACAGCGATGTCTAGGATCTGAGGTCTTGGGAACATTTGTAAGCCTTCGCGGAAGAAGAGACCGGGATACGTCAACCAGATGGCAAGCACTAGGTATGCGTGGAGAGGTTCGGAAACAAAGGTCGGAGCCACGGCTTCCTGAGTGGAGTCTACATGATCCGATGCCCCGGCGTCTCTGATTAGTGGGGCGAAAGCGATGTGAGATAGATGATTCTGAGGGTGAACTCGTTGCCCGACGCAAACGTGTATTACGCCAATATTCGGTTCAATTTGCTGAATGGGCCATGCTATTGGCCCATGACAAGACCAAGCTCGAGGCGTGGCAGAATCAGCTCGAGAAAGATGATATGCGGGCGATGATTATGTCTACGATGACTACGACGACGATGATGGAGACGATGAAGACTCAGAACGCCAGGACGAGGGTGGGCCAACCAAGAAGGCGGGATTTACGATAAAGGCGGAAGATTGTGAGAAGAAAGTGATCCTATGATATCTTAGAGAGATGCATCGAGCTGTAACGACGACCAGGCAATGCCTATATGGTGGGGCAATTCGGCCAACGATGAAATCTTGCCACCCAGGAATCAGTGAGGCCATCTGAATAGTTCATGTCCTAGAGAAATGTTACTATATCATTAGGGCATTATTGGTGCTCATGTAAATGAATTTCTGGTTCGTAATCGTAAGTCAATACCCGTTCTGTGCTATAGAGTGTGGTGTTGGGTGTCCCGAAACACAACAAGTTCAGGTATCAGCATGATTGGTAGCCTTTCTATCCACAAGCCGCCGATGGGTTTCATCCCCGACAGTCTAGTAGTCGTCACCGCGGCTGATGACCTCCTTTACGGTAGGTCGGAGCAAGATAGTCTACATCGCAAAGTCAGTGTAATGCTCTGGTTAAGTCATTCGATGTACTCACATGCTCAAATTGGGCTGTGTAGGAGCCCTTCTTGTCCACCAGAGGTGGGTAATCTTCGACAATATTGTTTTGGACGAGGTTGTTCAACTATCCGATCATAAGTCTTCGGGATGTTTAAGTCGATTGTGACTAGGGAGAACTTACGCCCAACAAGTACTTCTCCTGGCCGAGTCTGTCAATGTACCGTCGACAGAACGGAATGGTGCCGAAGTTCTTCTTAATGACACTCAACAGCGACTTGGCGGAGGACAAACGCAAGTCCACCTTCGGGGCCTCCTTGTTGATGGCGTAATGCGAAACCTCGCCCTGCTCATGCACGTATCCGTTTCCGGTACTGCCGAAGGTTTCGATGGCGAATACATCGCCCTCCTCCATCTTCGTCGTATCTGGCGACTTCACAATGGGCACACTCTTGGTGCCGTGGATGCTGTAAGGCAAAATGGTATGGCCCGTCAGATTCCTAATGGATTTGATCGGGTAGGTGGTACCATTTATCTCGCACTCGTAGCTCTCCATGGTCTCCTGGATCAGACCTCCCAGCTCACCAAGACGGACATCGATGCCAGCTTCCTTGACGCCAGTGTTGGTGGCATCCTTGACGGCAGCTAGCAGGTTATCGTACATGGGATCGAATGCTAAGGTGAAGGCACTGTCGACGATGTTGCCGTTTACATGGACACCGATGTCGACCTTCATGACGTTGCTTTGTTGCAGAATAGTCTTGTTGCCCAAGTTCGGGCTGTAGTGGGCCGCAATGTTGTCAAGGTTGAGACCAGTGGGGAATCCCATGCCAGCTTTGAGTGCATCTCCCTCTGCAAGGCCATCATGGCCGACCAGACGACGCACGCTGTCCTCGATTCCGTTCGCGATCTCGGTCAGGCTCTGGCCGGGCTTTATGTTCTTCTGGGCCCACTGGCGGACTTGACGGTGCGTCTCGGCGGCGTGGCGGTAGTCGGCGAGGAACTCATTGTTGATATTGTCCAGGTGACGCTTCTCTTCGCTGGTGGTACGGTAGCGGTTCTCGTCCTTGTACTCAACTTCCTCGCCCTTGGGGTAAGTGTTGTTGGGAAAGAGCTGGGATATCAAGACGCTGGGCGGATCAGTCTGCTCGGTGGGCGCCTTCTTCTTCTTCTTTGGCTTTCTCTTCTTGTTCTTCTTCTTTTTTGCAGCGCCTGCAGCCTCAGGGGCTTGGACATCGGCGTCGTCGTCTGAGTCTTCGCCCGATTGCTCGGCTACATTGGCGTCGGTTGTTCCATTTGTGGCGGACTTTCCGTTGGAAGCGCCACTGTCCTTGACTTGCAGCCCTGACTTAGCTTCACGGCTGGTAGGATGAATTGAAAAGGTCACAAACTCACCGCTGAGCTTCTGGAGCTCGTCTGCTGGCGCTTCGATGGCCATTTTATCTCTGATACTGGCGAGGCTGTTGTCGTAGCCTCGCAATAAAGAATCGCAGTCCACGGCAACAATTGGAATTTGTGATGGTGTCACCCCACCAATAATTTTATATGCAATTATGAGATGTCGAGCGGAGGGCGCGGGCGCGGGGTAATCACTTAGCGAAGGAAAGCCATTACTGGGCCACTATGTCTTCGTCAAACTGCCAAACAACTTCGGCTTGTTCCTGAATTCGCTACAAGTATGTCAATCTCTAAGTTTTAGGCCGGCTCTCTGTATTTTCTATTGACATGAACAGGGCGCTGAGGACCCTTCATATTCAAAATTTGATTGAGATACTTTAAGCAGCCTTTCCCTCGTCACTCCCTGTTTCCACCTTCATGTCGCGTTCCTCTAGCACATGTTTCGGAATGACAACATCCTCTTCGCCAGCAAAGTATTCCGTCTCTCGGATGTGATATAGACCCAAGTACAAGAAAACGAGAACGCCAGTGGCATAAAACGCGAAGATGACGGCAGCTTCCTTGATGTAGGGGACTTGGATTGAGTCAAGTCCGAAGCAGATGGCCTCACCCGCACCAAGGATGCCACGGAAGACACCCTGCGTTGGAGTAAGCTTGATCCTATTTCCCGGCCAATGGGAAGCAACTTACTGCATAGTTTGCGCTCTTTCGCGGTGAATTCGTAAGGCATCCGAGATAGTACAGGATGATGTACTGCCACAGCGAGCCTGAGATCCAATTCAACATGAAAAGCACGAAAATCGGTCCAAAGTCCGGATCGCTCCAATCCAAAGGCGTGTTGGGCGGATTTAAGCGATCGTAGTCGCGTACTCGAACCATCTCCCAAACCCACGCGGCCATCAGGGGAGTGCCCACAATGGCCAACCCGAGCAATGCCCTCGTGCGACGCTTCCACGCCTTGTGGTCCAGGATCCTCTGCAGCCCGTAGCCACACGGAATCTGAAGCACGACCGACATGAAGGAAAAGAGTGAACGGGCGCGCAGGTTGTTGTGATGGGCATTGACGGAGCCGCCATAAACAAGGAAACACTCCGCCGGCAGGAAGGCAGGGATCACTGTAGCATTTGGCGTTAGCAACTGCCTTCATATGCATCATCGGCGAAGGAGAGGCGCGGGTAGGCTTTTCAGTCGAAATTTTGGGGGTAGGGCCAGGCAAGGTCGACTCATACGACAGCTGACTCCGCTGGGACAGGTAGTTCTAGTTGTGGCCACTCACTGATGAGGAGCTTCCAGTCACGGAATATCTCCAAATTGGCCTTGAGCTCCTCGATGAAAGAGCGCGCCACTACCCTGCCGACCTTGGTCCCATCAGCTCGGATGATCTTAGAAGGTGGCATTAACAGAAATGCCATGACAGCGCCGATGCACATCATCACAATGAACACAATGTACACAGCAGCTGGAACACCCGCCGTTGTCGTTGCATTCCTATTGATTATCAAAGGAATGATACCGCCAACTACGGAGCCCACGGCTTGCAGATTAGTGGACATGGTGATGAAGGCCCCGCGATCTTGCTCCTCTGAGTACGACATGGCGATGTAGCCCATTGTGACGAAGATCAGGCCTGCCGAGATGCCGATACACACTCCGGCAAAGATTGGAAACCCTTGTTTGCCTGTCGCGTCGAAGTACCACAGCGAACCGACATAGATGATGTATCCAATGACGCCGAGGCATGCCGTGATCGCAGGACCAACGAGGTTGAGCATAGTCCCACCAAAGCAAGCGCTGAAGAACCAGACCGCGCACAGCAGCGCGTTCACAACCTGGACTGTTTGCGCTGAATTGGGTCTTCCACTGTCAGTGCGACGTGGACGGCGGATGGAAATTCGGGCCGCAACTCACTTTCCACCGCCTGCACCAAGCAAGTTCAGTGCCACGTACAAGCCAGCTGTCAAGCCGATGAGAATACCAATTATCACACTGTAGGTACGCGATTAGTTAATTTCGACGTTGCTTTGCCCTTCTTGGGTCTTTCAACCTACTTTTGCCAAAATGGTGAATGCAACCTGAGCATTGGGATGCCCCAGATCTTGATGTGTTTCTTCTTTTTCTGCTCCGAAAGTTCCGACATGATGACAACATGAGGATCGCTTTACTCAAGTGAGGTTTGCCTCTACCTTGAAAATGGGCGGTTTTGCAATCTCATAGGGCGGAGGTAGTATTTATGAATAAGTCGACATGTTCAACTCCCGGCCGGTATAGTGTATGCAAGTCTCGCTTGCACGTCCCTGCTATCCACTCTATGGGCGCAGCAGTGATGACATTGTAAGCCCAGGTGGCCTACATGCCTATCATTACTTATCGGTTGCAACACTCAGTATGTGGGCCGGCATTGGCAAGTATTCACTGCTCCTAGTGCTACTCTGCAATGTAACACACCTGACCACTCGAGATGCGGTCGAAGTCTTCTATGCCGAAAGGGTTAATCATTGCAGCTATCAATTATGCTTTGCTGCGGGATGTTTCTCAGCTCTTACTGTTAAATCCATTACTACTCCGCGTCAAGTTGGATCCCCCATTGGACGACTGCTCTCGTATACTTTCAGAATGCCAGCCTCATCCTACAAGAGCGGTCTGCTTCATGCATCCAATGGCAAAGCCATTGAGCGTGGTGGTATAGAGGGGGTGGACATTTTCCGACTTACCAATACCAAGGGACATCAGATGCAGCGCTAAGGCTCATACGAAGCTAGCATATTGCGCATCACTCCCTATGATATCAAGTTGCCGATCTGTGACGGATATGCGCGCCCCTCCTCGTCGAGTGCTCTTATTGGTAATAAGTAGTTTGATATCGGACGGACAGAGACCTTAGCCAACACGACGTTGGATCGTATTACTTCATGCTGATATCTAATGCACAACTCCCATCATGACAATGGATCCACCACTGGTTAAGATACCCATCGTCGACATCAGCGGCTTTCAGCTGGAGACACGAATGCTAAGAAGGCATGTGCTCTAGAAGTCTGCGATGCGTATGAGAACCAAGGCTTTCTTCAGATTGTTGGGCATAGCGTGTCAAAGGATCTCCAAGCACGCTTTCTTGAAGCCATCGCGAGTTTCTTTGCTCTTCCACTAGAAGAGAAGCAGAAGATCTCCCAAGAACTCTCGCCCTGCTATCGCGGCTACGAACGCGTCGGTGGACAGAAGCTTGATGAACTCGACAACGATGCCTCGGTAGATCAAAAGGAAGGTTTCTCCATCCGACCCGAACGTCCTCTGGGCCGCTTTTTGGCAGGCCCGAATCAATGGCCAGGCCCAAATTTACCCGGCATGAACTCGTTCAAATCGACTTACATGGAGTACTTCGATGCCGTGCATGCTCTCAGTAAGGACATGTTCCGACTCATCGCGCTCAGTCTCAACCTTGACGAGGGTTACTTCGACGAATTCGCTGCGGATCCGGACGGCATCTGTCTCTGCCGCTCGCATCACTATCCTCCTACACCGCCTGATTCCACAGACCGCACCCGCGGTATCGGCGCGCATACGGACTTCGGGGCCTTGACGCTGCTTCTACAGGACAATGTGGGCGGGCTTGAGGTACTACACAAGCCAACGGGCACTTGGCATTCGGTACCCCCTCTCGAAGGTTCCTATGTGTGCAATATTGGCGACCTGATGCAGCGGTGGACGAATGATCGATATCGCAGCACTATGCACCGTGTCATATCGCCGCTGTCGAGCAAGGACAGGTACTCGTGCGCGTTCTTCAATGAAGGTATGCGGGATAAGGTTGTCGAGGCCTTGCCGGGCTGTGTGCCATACGGCGAGAAGCCGAAGCATGGTCCGATTAGAGTTGAGGATCATCAGATCAAGTGATACCAGCAGAGCTATGCCGCTGGTGGGACGGTGATTGAAGCTCCGAGATTGATGGCAGAACACAGCGATGTTTCCATTACTGTTTCTTAAGCACCGAACATTCCTCATCATAAGCATGGAGAATACAATGCTGAAAGTGAGTACCCTAACGTCATAACTTCTATAGAAATATGCCGGGTTACAAATCGACACCCCCTGTCACCTCAACACCAGGCATCCTACCCGCCTTGAATTCATCCACCATCTGCTCCATCGTAACCCATTCCACTCCCTCATAACTATTGATGTACTGGATGATGCGCTCGTGCATCAGGATGACCTGTGGCTTTCCACTGACCTGTGGGTGAATCGAAATTGGGAAGACGAAAGTGTCGTACTCGCGATAAAAGAAATCAAATTGCTCTTTCCACAGACGTTCAATGACTTGCGTATCAACGTAGCCGTGGCTAGAGCCCTGGAGCCGAAATTGAAAAGGCGGCCAATCTGCACGTCTCGTCAGTTAGAAGAAACAAGTTCTTGTTTGTCTGACAGTGCCACTGAATCCATACCATCCAAATGCCAGTTCGCTGGCACTTCCACCACCTCGGACCTCTTCAACTCGCCCATAGGCCTCATCCACTCCCTCGCCTCCCCTTTCAAATCCGTCACCTTGACCTCCGTCCCCGCCGGGTCCGGCAGCCTAAACATCTGACAATCATGGTGCATAAACGAATGATCATACTCAATCCCCGTCTCCTCTAACAACCTCACAGCCTCCCTAGATGGCATCCATGCCGGCGCCGTCCAGCCCCGGGGCTTTTTTCCCCCGCAGAACTCACTTAGCACCTGGATCGACTTGTCCAGTACGGCGGCTTGTTGTGTGATGGAGAGGGAAGACACATATTCGTGTGTGTATCCGTGCAGACCAAGTTCATGTCCGCTGTCGCGGACTTTGGCGAGTTGGGAGGGAAACGACTCTAGGGTGTGCGCGGGCACGAAGAAGGTTGCTTTGATGTGGGATTTGGCAAAGAGAGTCAAAAGGCGATCGATCCCTACTGTGGCGCCGAAGATGCCGCGGGAGATGTCGGTTGGGTTTGCGGGGGTACCATCTTCAGTGTTGATCCTGGGAGACAGTTAGGGGCAATGCAGACGACGAGGGTTAGGATGGTGATAAGAGTTGGAAGCTTACCAGCCGCTTACGGCATCGACGTCGACACCGTAGCCGACGAGAACGCGTTTAGGCATGTTGAAGTTGCCGTTAGGGACTATTGGGTACCCGGGCAACGGGTAATGAGTATTACTTAGTGTTAAAAAGTACTCCTGGAGATTCAAACTTATCGATCAACTGCGACCATTACCCGTAACGCATACCAGCAGGTTGGTATATATATCTTATGGAACTGTCCTGAAAGCTGCAAGCAGCCAGAAAAAGTGGTTTTCAATTTGGATGGCATCATCGGATCTGATGCATGATTATTGGCGGACCCCGCGTTGTGCCAAAGCTATATTTGTCAGCTCAAGCTTCTGTCGTCAGATAACAGGATCCGGACTGTGTTCCATCAGGCTGCGTCGAAAGATCAACACGAACTCAGCTGATCAGGAGGGCGATGTGGCACATCTTGGAAAGGTATCATACGTGGGGAGGGGGGTCGACTATCTTCTTTCGCCGTTGTGGGGTAGGTTCCGTCGTCGGCCAACCATGCGAAGTTATACTTAATGCTCTCCAAGAGTCTTGGCACGATTAATGTTGAGTTTGTTCCAGTGATGATATTCTTTTGGCAACAAAATGATCTGTTTGGTAACGTAAGAACCGAAAGTTTATCCAAATTGTTGTGAAGTTGTGGGCTATTGGTTAGAATAAGCAAAAGCATTTAGACAACTTCCGGTGTGATGCGATGCATATATATCACGATACGTTCAGCTGGAGGTGGGTAGAAGCAATGGGTTGCTACTCAAAGTAAATATATACTGCGAGTACTATGTTAATTTGGGTCAAAGCATAACTCACGTCCCACTTAGATAATCAAAAGAAATAGCAAACTTCACGATGTCACTAACACTGGCAGAATGTAGAAACCTTTGCCACTAGATCTACCAAGCGAAAACCATACTTTGGTATTTCATACAATGTCTGTTTGCGTGACTCCTCAACCCCCACAGCGTGTTTCCCGTTCGAAGCTTTTGGTTTCCACCGGGATGATGACTTGTAGACTTGGAATATTCAATCGTTGCTATTACAAAACTCAGGGAGTTAAAGTAGCCATGCTTAGACACTTAGCAAAAGAGATATTATACAACCTATCACTGCCATTAATTACATATGAAAAAGGCCTTGTAGTGATGTTATAAGGTTTGCCGCCCGGATATATACATAACGTGAATGTACACCGAGCTGGCCATGACACCGAGCTGGCCACTTTCATGCGCCAACGCGACCGGCCAACTTAATGTTTGATTTTCTCAACAACCAATTATGGCAAAGTCATACAACGAAGCAGACTTAATGCTAGCCCTTCAAGCTCTCAAAAATGACCAAAAACTTAGTCTCCGACAAGCGGCAAAAACGTACCAAGTCCCCCGAAGCACCCTCCAAACGCGTAAAAACGGCGGCTCGCCCTCGTACGGGCCGAGTGCGCTGAGCTTCGAGAGGCAAATAAGATGCTAAGCCGGCGCCGGAGGACTAAAAAAATGCAATTACGGGAAGGAGAATCACTTATTTTCCAAGAAGGACAGGACCTACGGGACTCTAGGGAGTTGGCGACGCAGATACAGCAAGAAGAGCGCCGAAATGGTGGTCGCGCAAAGCGTGTTGAAACGCGCCCGAGGCGCTGTGGTATTTGCAACGGGACTGGGCATAATGCGCGAACTTGTAACATCGCATTGCCATCTTCTGGAGAGGAAGATTCAGAGTAGTTTCAATTGATTTACGGCGTTGTGGTTTTACTATCGTAAAATTTCTATGCGAGGTTATGTAAGGGCGGCCAGCTCGGTGTACATTCACGTTACATGTAAGAGAATATGTCTAGAGAAATCACAGCATCAAGAAAACTCGATAGTATCACCAGCAGTAAACAGCTCCCAGATAAAGCAAGGATCCGTACAGTTGCCGTCGGGGATAATACGCCCTGTGGAAAATTCGTCTTATCATGAACTATCAACTCCATCCTCAAGAGATATCGAGATTATGATCTACAAAGCACTTCACCCAAGACTTTGACCTGAAGTCTACCATATAAGTTACGCGCAGTAGCCGAAGGACAGAACAGCCCAAGTTGAATATTCGAAGCTTCTGCCATAAAACATAGCCATAGAAGGCAATGCAAAGGTTAGGAAGATTTGGATCAACCATAAGGTGTCTTCCTATTGGATGAACAATGGGATAAGCCACGGAAAGCATGATTTAGCTACCCTGAAAACATTCGTCCAACAAAATATCAAGCAAGTCCCGCAGTATTCAAGGCGGTATTATACGAAGACGAAGATAAAATATCGAGCCCTACCTTGCGACTACGGTCTTACAGGATGCGAACAGTTTCACCGGGAGACAAGCAGATAAGACGGATATCCGCTTCTACGACATTATGATAAAGCTAAGCTTATAACACTGGGATATGACAGCCTTGCTGAGTAGTTCGGATCTCTTCGCTTGGACCCAATCTCATACTAGAATTAAGACTGAATCCGAATTAATATAAGCGAGTCACTCTCCTTCCGTAGATACTCCACCTTGGAAATCATTTCGAAATGGGACATTGTTATCGCATTGCGTGCATTATTACCTGGATGCCGATATATACCGGACTAGGGACCAGTTCAGGTGTTGCAAGCCGTGTCTTGGCACGGATCTACACCCGCTTTCAGGAGGTTGACGCTACCCACGTGTTGGTTTATAGACTCACAAGGATACTGACTCGCCCAACTTCCTCTGGTCCGGCAAATTGCGACACCACGGAAGAGCTCAGATCCCACCAATAGTCACCTGAAAATACTGCTGGATATTGACTGTCGCCCTCTCCTGCGCACTATAAAGCGGTTCATGTCAGCTAAATGCCAAGACGACTTTGGGTCCGCATGCTTCATCAGGGTCCTCGTTCGTGAACATCAAATCAATTATACCCTCAAAATGCAGCTGAGCCACTGGACAGCGCTGTTGGCGCTCGCCACAAATGCCGTCCTCTCTGCAAGTCTTCCAATCCGCATAATCACCTTCAACATCCGCTACGCGGCAACTTCGCTCGAAACAAACGAGAAGCCATGGTGGACGCTCTTCTGCTTCATTTGGGATGACCAATGTCGCCAACCCCATGTTATCGACCTCCTGAGCGAAACAGCAGCGAACGCTCCCACCGGCGCTGCCACGATCATTGCCATGCAGGAGGTCTTGGACAACCAACTGAGCGACATCAAGAGCGGATTAGGGTCTTCATGGGCGCACATCGGCGTAGCTCGGGATGATGGGGAAGACAGCGGAGAGTACAGCCCTATTCTGTACCGCACCGACGTCCTGAAGTTGCTGTACTCTGAAACAAAGTGGCTTTCTCCGACGCCAGACACTGTCTCATACGGTTGGGGTGCTGGTAGCCGGAGGATTGTCACGATTGGCGTCTTTGAGCATATCGCCACTGGAAAACGGTTCATCCATGCGAATACCCATCTCGACAACGTCAGTTCAGAAGCTCGCAGCGAGGGAATCAAGGTCGTGGTGGCGAGGATCCAGGCCGTGCAGTCTAGCTGGGGTCCCCTAGGTGTCACGTTAACGGGCGACTTCAACTCGGACCCCAACGGAGATGCTTATAGCACCCTGACCGGCCTTGCGTACGTGGAGGACCTGTGGAATATTGCCACGCATGTCGGCGCGAACCAGTTGACGTATACGGGGTTTACAGCTACAGGGATTAGTCGCATTGATTTCATCTGGCTCGGCCCGAAAGGCAGCAATCTATACTCGACGCAACAGGTGGAGATTTTGAACAATAATGTGGATGAGATGTTTATCAGTGACCACAGGCCTGTGGTGGGAGATATAACTCTTCTTTAACTATCGGATTAGCTATTGACAGTGTGGATCTAATCTCATGGCTATGACCGCCAAAACCCTACCTAATCAAACTGCAACGGAGCATATATCCCGCCCAGCCGCACGGGTTGATTACCAGATGATATTGGATTGTATAACCCCTGATGTCATCAACAAGCTCGAATTATTTTATACGGAAGAACGTTTCTTCTTAGGAAACAACAACACAACAGATAAGAGTGGGCGGTAGTCGCTATCAAGCGGCAGTGCGTTTTGTCAGACCTTATAACTACCAAAAATACCTCATTCTATAGCGAGTGGGCCCCTCGTCTTTTGACGGTCAATTTGGTCCAACACGTTTCGTGTCATAGACTGGCCAATCATACGGAACCAACATGAAATATGCAGCCTATTCCACTGCTTCATTGCATCGACATGTCATAGTCGCGCCTATTCTGTGGATAAATTTAATTCTACCAAATACCATTGGCTGGTCTCGAAAGCTCGAGGACAGAGTTAATTGATGCTAGTGTAGCAAGAATCTTAAAGATGTCGATCCTGACGAGGTGCTGTCCTGAATAGGATGCCCATCCCGTTCCCCACAACTACGAATTGTCAGTAAATGGAGTTGCTGGAGGAGGGTGATGGTATGAGCTTACTGGCATGAAATGCTTCTCTCAGCTCGCGATATCGGATGAAAGCAGTGATTGGGTGTGAAACCCCGAGCATCAGGACCCCAGAGCTCTTTGGATTAATGTTGAATCACTATGGCAGTCACGTCGTGCCCTCTGGAAATGTTGTTTCTCCAATAGTGATACCGCCTTTCGGTGCAATCCGCGGAGACCCATTGAACAGAGTTGTCAGCACATCCCATACCCCTAAAATAGACTACGGAAGTTTTGGTAGGAATAGGCGTGAATATTCGAAGAGATTCCTTGACGCAAGCCTCAAGGTAGTGTAGCTGGGCTGCATCCTCATACGTAATAACTTGACCTCGGCGGTGGCCTTCCTTCGGGGCAGCATCTATCTCCTGTCTTTCGCGGGCCCATACATCTGGTTGGCGGAAAGCATGATAAACAAACTTCTGGAGATCACGTGAATCAGTATCTCCGGAGACATTGAGGTTAGTCGCCAGCGGTGAACAAGAATATCCGTAACCATTGGATGGGCTACTATAGAGAATGACAAAGACACGGTCAGCTTGCCTTCGTAATCTTCCATGACTACGACTGTTTCCATGACACAAAGCCAATTCGGGACCATCAGCCATGGCCAGTTGCGCAATGTGTTCCAAGAACTTTGTACGTCGCTGCAAATCCTTCTCTAAGGTTCCGGACTTCCAATCAGCAATCATTGGTTCCTGCCTGCTGTTGGCTTATAAGACCCTTTTCTGTGATATTACCACGCTAGGACCAGCATTCGCCAGACAATAGATCAAGATCAAGTTCTAAACCACAAGAAGCACGCAATATATACACCCTTTGAAATTTCTACACAGCACCATGGCACAAGAGTACGCCACATTCAACGAGCTTCTATCGGAAAATGCCATGTCATGAAGTACCTTCGTTACCTTTATGAAGTCAAATCGTGCACACAACTGAGAAAACAAAATTATGAGCCCAACGTAACGGGGCTGGTGACAATAAAGAGACAACTGAAAAAGGCATAAGCACGAATAAAGTCCTTCACAATAATGATTGATGCCTAAATAAATTTGAACCCCATTCTGACATTGACTCTGTTTTGTCTGAAAAACACAACTAACCGAACCAGATTCACGCGTCTATTGTGCTAGGATTCAGGATGCTGGTTGCGCTCTCAAGGGCCGAAAGCCGCAGGTCTGTAGGATTAACGTACATAGATCCTGAGCAGACCTCGAAGTTGGTAAAACCGCTACTGCCTGATACAGTTTCAGCTATCCGAGACCTAACAACCGCTAATGAATACTTAAGATAAGTTCACGAGTCTTACAGGATGAGCCTTTTCTATTCCGAACTCTCCAAACTCTCTATAATCAGTCGCTTATTAAGCCGCATAAGACAGAGTTAACTAGTTATGAACGGGGCAGCGGGTGTTCACATTTGACTCCACATGAAAATGCTATGAATAGTTTCAGCGTTCCGCACTGACTTGATTTGTTTCCGTTCTCTCCCACTAAACGCTTGGGTGGGGGGATTCCTCACGTCTCAATCGGGACTGTTTCAACGTCCCCACGACCCCTGATTGGCCGCTGCAGGCGCGAAACCAAACAAGCGCCCGTTACAAGATGCGAGTCATCATGACGAATTAAGACGGTCTCGCCAGTCTGCATCCATGCCTTGCGCAGCGAAGATGCTTGGCCCCAAATCTTGCAGTGGGGAACAAAGCGTGTCAGAGCGTTTGCCATGTGTGTCGTCCCAAGACATCGCTATCGTGTCTGTTCCCAAATGCTCCTCCGCGAGAGGATCCCCCAAGACCCGATCTGCGTGGGTGCCCGCTGCCTCGTTCGGCCGGGTTCCATAAACATCTCAAACGCTTAAGCCGCTGGGCGCTTCCAATCAGCTTTACTTTGTTTGCGAAACGGGAAAGGGGATTTAGTAAGGGAAGGGTCGTTACTAAGGCAATGCATGGACTGAGTGTGGAGGTAAGCGTAAGCGAGGTCATGATAAAAGACGGTATCCCTCAGATGGAGTGGTGCATTCTGATTCATGTTCGTTATTTAGGAACGTCCGTCTCTCCTCATTCCACCTTCACGCTGTGCGACCATTTCACTGCAGTGCAGTTACTTAGGGTTGATCCCTTTTCTATTCAATTTTGACTTCACTTGACTCGTGTAATTTAACATATCAACACGAACATACCATCACCAAGATGAAGTTCGCCATATTCCTCACCTGCCTAGCAGCCACTGCACTCGCACTCCCCGCTCCCTCAAATTCCAACAACGGCACAAGCGGCGGCTCAAATAACGGCTCAAACGGTGCCATAACGGCCTCTATCATCCCTGACTTTGGTGTCACCGCCGGCATCCAAAGCGCCGACCAGTCGGGCAGCTGCGTCGGCGTCGATAACAAGAACATCCCCTGTGAATGCCCCCCCAGCAAAGAAGCGTTCGCCCAGACCCTAAGCACCTTCGTCTCGCGTGGCGTGGCGGGCGCCTCGGCCATCGAATTCTCGACCAATTTCACCGACCAGTCCGCCGTCACGAATTTGGCGCGTGTGAATGCCATGATTAATACACTGCAGAACTTTAATTTTGATAAGACGGGGAGGACGGGGGACGGGTGTCCGGCGGTTTCGGCGCCCAATTTGGGGACCATTCGGACGCAACTGCTGAACGGGCAGAATGTGCAGATTGGGGGAAAATAGGGAACATCGGGGGGAGGGGTTTTTGTTGTTGGAAGGGGTTATCGAGTGTACTCGGAAGCATGGGAATGAGCACTATGAATGAATTATGAGTGGTGAGAAGAGGATGTGAGTAGTGTTGCATCCTACGAGTGGTTTACTTTGAAGTTGTGATGGCGTTAGGTGAAAGGGAAACTTTAGGCGGCTCGGCCGCTAGGCCTGGATATACATACGGCTGGAGCTGTAGGAGTTCCGGATATGCACATGCACATGTTTGAGTTTGAATACGGTGGTATCAGAACACTTGAAACAATCTCACTCCATCATAACCACTCTAAACTATTACATGTTGAGCCTGGTGTGCGTGTCATCCGAGTTCATTCGGCCCAGGTTCAAAGAAATGCTCAAGTATGTGCAACAGACAAGTCGAGATTTGACCAATCAACGCCATGGATTATACTTCAAATGACCCTCCTTGTGTAGATACATTTGGAAGTTTGCATGCGTCCCCTGACTACGTGTGCATATCATATGTTCATCGTCTTCGGCTTCCAGCTCTGGGTTAACACCACCAAAGAAATCGCACAGCTTCTCCCGGTACCTGTTCCCTATGCTATCCGAAATACTGCAGCTTTCCCTATTACTAGCTATAAAGTCCTTGAGCGACGTCCTACCAGCCCTGGACCATGGCCACATTTTTCGTAGAGTCACCAGGGCAATCTCTTCTGGCTCACTGACCTGATCCTCCTACTTCTCGTACTCATCCACGAATAACATGATCTTTTCCAGTTCAAAACAGCCCTTACGTTCAAAACACTTTCCGAAAATGAGGCTCCAATGCTATTCCCGGCCGTTGTTCCACGTATGCGCATACAAGTTCATTCTGTACTTTCCAGTGTCTAGCAACTGCCCCAGGTCAACCATCCACTTCATACCTGGGATGTGGTACTGAGTCGTATTGACTGTAATCTAATTACTGTCGTTGCTGATACGGTAGTCACCTCTGATCCCTCTACGGCGGAGATCTCCGTCACTGGTAAGCAATGCAATCCAGAGCCCTCCGTTGGGTCTTGAAGCTTTGCCCGTGGATATGCTAGGGGCAGGCTGTACCAGAAGCAATGTGCAGTTGCTTTATGATATCGTCGCAATCTGCTTTCTCGGTCTTCCCCGAGCTTCTCCTCGGGTGGCAGTTTATATTGTCGCTTTTGTTGGACCTCAGCAGCTGCCATTTGTGCCTGTACTTCTGAGCTGTTCCATCTGTCCCAGATGCGGGCCTCCGTCGTACGTGTGAAACTATCCAGTGACAGATGATAGAGCCACGCGGTATTCGACATTCTTTGCCTGTGTGGGAATAATATTGCATGGGTTGAGCCATTATCCAATGAACGATCTCAATTTGGAATACCCTGCCTCGTGTCCACTCGAAAGCACTATTGGCGACTGCAACGCTCATATTTGTGTGACCACCCCAAAGCCGGAAACAGCTCACCTGGGCTGACGAACTCATTTGATTAATGCATTGTGCAACTCTTGCTTGCCTTGACGTGAAATTCTGGGTTGGTTGTTAGTTGCAAGTGATGTACTCACAACTCTAGAACGCATAGACAGGGAACTCCTTTCCACTCTAGCAAGTACCGCCATAACCAACACCACATCATCTTTTGCAACTAATAAATCTTGAATAACAAAGGAAAACATGGTCGAAAAACGGAAATACTAGGAGATGACATTGCTCCTTGGTAAGCGAGGCATGTTGAGACGGACACTATGTAGCTGTACCCGGATGATCACATCGGTGCAAGACAAGTCGGTAAAACTTTCCGTCACACGAGAACTATACAGACCCAACAACTATTTGAAGTAGGCGAGAACCGTCCGTTTTCGGTTTTCTCGTTAAACGCAGGAATTGTTAGCGGACTAATTATTTTCTTTGTCCTCTTCCCTAACTCCTACCTCCAATGTGTTTACACGTATATCTTCATCGAGGGCATGAAAATATCTACGCTTCTATTCCTTTATGAATTCGAATTTTACTGTCTTCAAGAATATCTATCTGGCTACTTCCCAGTAAGTTGAAAGCTCTTTGACACGTCGGTCATCGTTTCGAGCTCACCGATCTCGTGCGAGTTTTCCACATCGTACTATGTCTAACCAGAAAGCTGATGATGCTTCGATATCAGGTTAGTTTCCATGAATAAGTTCAGCTGTTCTATGTAGCTAACGCTTACCAGGGCCACGCCTCAAGTGGAAACGTCACCTTTACTTGATTACTTTCAAGATCACGAACACGTCATTTGTACATATATTCTCATTTGACTAGCATAGAAATATTGAGGCTAAGTCGGTCTAGCATTGGGGCTTTTTCTTCTATGGTAACAAAGACGATTTCATGTTCCATCAAGTTTCCAACGAAACCGCAAACGTATGGGAGTATCGGGGCAGGGCCGAGAATGCAGCCAACCTCCATCAAACTCTCGTTCTTTGTGATCTCGGGCCCCAGGATACTGCCGTGTTTTTAAAAGATACAGCCCTCAAGGACGTTCCAATCGACCAGCTGAAGTTAACCTGCAGAACCTGGACCAGAGACGCGCTACGTAGAGCATTGGCTCTTGGCATTGTGCTGCCAATCCTTATAGGTCGGCAGGGCCAGACTTAATAAGTTAGATTCGAGGCTAACGAAGTACCAGGTGACGCAGAGACAACAGCGGAAGCTATGGAAATAGCTGCTACAGATGCGGCAAGAAACAGTCTTGAGTATGGTGGCCAGACAGGGGAGTTCAAGATTCTAACATTGAGAAGCCTAAAACAGAGTAGGCTCCACTTGCTGGCAGCACTGGATCAACTCGAAACTCTGGAATGGCGCACCCGCAACGTTAGTTGTAGTTACGAAAGATTTACTTCGTGTACGAAATGAGCTCGCGCAATACCCTCACCACATGTTGCATTGGCCTTCAATCCACTCACGGTAGTAGGGCCAAGTCATGTAGATACAGCAATAGTTCGATTGCGAATATCAAAGGGTCTAGTTTTCAACCACCAGCAACACTATCCTTAATTGAGACAGAAACGTCACGGACTTGGTCAAAGTATACAGGTTTTCTGCTTGCATTTCTGGGCATCAACTGGGGACTTGTCCCGAGCAATGCTTCGATTATCGCATTGGATAATGTGGCGGCTTCATGTGTCATTTGTTGACACATGAAAGTGACATGTCATGATTGAGCAAGCCTTAACTAGAGTGTTGTGCATTGCTCAGGGGATTCTGAGGTATGTCGGTTAAGACAGCAGCCAACGGAGCCAAAACGCCTCATGCACGACAACGGTAGCCCAAAACACGAGTTGGAAAGACGACTTTCTCGTCTTATGATAGAAGAGACTTTGAGCGAGCATGCCCCCAGGCCAGCCACCAAGGGAATCGAGTGTATGAAGAAGCACTTCTCGGACTCTCCAGCCACGGGTCGTTGCTCGATATTTATCATAGGCATAGAGGAAAAACGATAGAGCACTGAAGAAGCCGTAGGTAAACAGGGGAAGAACCTGGCCACTTCGCCAAAGGGCCAATGTACAGCATGCAGGTGCCATGAGACCAAACAAGCCAAAACTCGCCATGAAGCCGACGAGTTTGGACCGGTGTTGTGCCGATCCCAAACTTGGTGGGCGGTTCATTATGCGGAATCTCATTCAGGTGAAGCCGCTCTTAGCGTGTCGAGTAGGTTCAGCCCAAGGGTGAGATCGACAACCACAGGCTAACGTCAACGGCGAGAGCGGTTGTTGGTCCGATCTAGCATGACTGGTCAGGACCTAGTTCGCTGTTGAAAATTCCAATTCAACGACATACATAGACCATGTGTGGGGGAATGCTCAAAGGCCTTGGTAATAATCTATCGAATTTGATCTACGTGATGTCGGCATTCGATGACGAGCTGAGAACCAACTGGAAGCGAGGCTTTCTTATCAGGGTGACACTGCTTAACTGCAAATAAATCAGCAAATCGACAGATGTCAAAGAGCGGATTAGATCAAAACAAATGCAAAATAACCTACACGCTCGGATTGGCCAATTGCTTCCCTAATAAAACGAATGGTCGAGAGCCGTTATCGAGGCCTTGGATTTATGATGCCCGCAAAAGAGGATCAATTTCTCTGTGTTCAAAGTTCTCCATTCTTCCGGCCCCGAATGTTCTCCAGGTGTCCGTCATAGGCGCGTCTAGACAAAGCTTGGGGAAGTCATTCCGGCCAATCGGACGCCTCAAAAAGAGCGGTTCCGGTGCATTTTCTTCGTCACTTCCTTAACCGGTATCATAAGCGAGGTCGGGTGGCAATCCGATTTATCGCCGGGCCGTGCTCGCACCTCCCCCCCAATGCCGATAAGCTTTGACTGTTTGGATGGCTTCTGATTCCCCGTTGGCCGCGAAATTTTTCTGCACAAGCACCAAGTCCCCTAAAAGAGCGCCGTATCCCAGTTCTGTCTTTGCGTCTTCTTTTGCATTTACGACGAACCGCCAATAATTCCTTCATTATACCAACGACGGCGACGAACCTTTTTTACTATTGACGATAGACCACGAACTGGCTGTCTTGTACATTACGATAGACTCCCCCTCTCCCACGTCGCCTTTGGCCATAGACGAGAGATTTTAACTTCCGGACTCATCATCCCTCAGCAAACTCGACAAAAAAAACTTCAAAATTTGGCAGCCACAAAAGTGCTCAGGACATCGTCCTCGACCCGACTCTTAATTACCAACTCCTCGAAATCACAATGAAGGTCTTTTCCACAGCAATAACCTTTGACTACTCCTGGGAGGAGGTATCAACGGCGAACTGGCAAAAATACGGTCCCTGGAATGATAAGGCATCGCACGTCATCGCCGTCGACACTCTGAACCGCCGCATCGATCCCACCACCGGCATTCTGCGAACAGAACGTCTCATCACCTGCAAACAATCAGCACCCGAGTGGCTCAAATCGCTTCTGGGCCACATGGACACAAGTCAAGTGTACGAGGTTAGCTATGTCAATCCCGCCGCAAAGACCGTCACCATGGTCTCCCAAAACCTCACGCTGGCGAATCTTGTCAACGTCCAAGAAACTGTCGTCTACAAGCCCCTCAATGCCCACCAAACACAATTCGTCCAAGATGCGCGGATAACTGCCCTGTGCGGTGGCTGGCAACGGATAAAGAACAGCATCGAGGACTCGTTGGTCACGCGATTCAAGGAGAATGCCCACAAGGGCCGCGAGGGATTTGAAAGCGTGCTGCATATGAGCCGGAGAGCATTCGCGGAGGAACGACTGAAAGTCCAGATGGCTGTGTGAGCACGGACTAACCGCATCGCATCGCATCGCATCAAATTATTTCGATCGATCTCACGGATTGATTGTACGAGAGAGCGCAATTAGACGACCGAGGCAATTCCATTGGCGTTCGACAATGGTAGGGTATTTTTGATTTAACACAATACGTATGGAGTTCCGGTGATACCCACCTATACATGACCTTCGAACGAGGGTGGGGATTGTTGGTTGGGTCCTGAAGGATCATTTAGAAGTTGGCATTAGACTTGATAGATGGATAGAATACGATATAGATCAATCCACCCTTCTCCGATGAAGACAATTGAATACACACTTCACTGTACAACATGCTGCGTCATTGACTATTTTTATTTTCTATGGCCGTCACGATTCGAACCTTTTCAGCACACTTGGTCTCGTAGTGTCTTAACAGCTTCCTGGTATCTTCATCAAGCCCATCATCGCTACCACTCTTCCCATCCCCGCCCAGGACTCTGCCTACGAACTTCGCCGCTTCCTCATACCGTCTGAAGAAATACAACTCCTCGACAGCATGCAGTAGCGCCTGAGCCTGCGGCTTCGCGATCTTAGCGCCATCACCATCTAAGGGCAACTCAACGGTTTTCCATATCTGCAAAAATTCCAGTGAGTAATGCCTCGCGACGATTTACGGCTGCCAAGGTGAACAACAAGAATTCATGCGAACAACTCACCTCTCCGTTCTCGACTTTGACCGCATAGGCTTTCCTCACGGCCTGGAATTCGGCTTCCGACTGCCCCGTTCGGTCTGCTTTGTTCCTCCCATTGGGCTTTTGGCTGTTCAGGGTTTCCTCCCCGTCGGATGAGTCAGACAGGGAGATGCCGAAGAGGCCCGAGTCGAGATCTGAAGCGTCCATTCTATACAAGAGGGATGAATTTACAGGGAGTATGGATTAGTCAGGCAGCTTGAGTTTGTAGGGTGGGCTGTGAATGACCTTAAACGATCGAGGGTATGCAGTTTCTCGTAGATAATGGGGTTGGCAGATTAGCGAAGATTGACATCAGTGTGCATTTATGCTGTTTGTGGGGCAATTGAGGGGCATCATTCACTGGCACTTGAGCTTCGGCTCGAGATCCTCAAGGTCGAGCCAACCAACCAAGCAACAACATTTATGATTGTTTAATTTGCAGTATCATATTTGAGATCTGACTGCAAATCAAGTTCCGTCTTTCTTGCACAGCCGCCTGATAGACATTGGCTTATCCCTGGAAAACTCATTCAATATGGAAGCGCAGGTGTCCAGACTCGCCGACAAAGTCTGGGAGCGATTCCAGCAGATACCGGAGGATCGTCGTTTTAGTAAGTCAATTTTACATCAGTTTGCAAGGGCTCAGAGCCCATACTTTCATGGGCGTTTTATCAAACATAAAGGGGCGTCCCCGTCATGAGGTCTCCCCTGATCATAACGGACATACGTGTTAGGTTTCCATGAGAGGCATAACTAACATGTAGCAGTGATCGCAATCGCAGGCATCCCAGGCTCAGGTACATTCTCCTACTCCTATGTCAGATTCTCTTACTAACTCAATTTCCATAGGCAAAACAACCCTCTCCCAAAAAGTAACGTCCGCCCTCAACGCACGCCACGCCACCCTGCACCCCGAGCTCCTTGAGTCAGTGCCCGTAGCCGTCTTTGTCCCTATGGACGGCTACCATCTAACCCGGGCCCAACTCTCCGCCATGGAAGACCCGGTAAATGCCCACGCCCGCCGCGGCGCCGAATTTACCTTTGATGGGGCCTCATACCTGGCACTCATCGAATCTCTCCGTGTACCCCTCTCATCCTCCACAAAGCCCATGTACGCGCCCTCCTTCGACCATGCCGTCAAGGACCCCAAGGATAACGATATCCCGATCTTGCCAGGGCACAGGATCGTGGTGTTTGAGGGGAATTACCTGACGTTGGATCGGAAGCCGTGGAGTACGGCGGCGGGGCTGATGGATGAGATGTGGTTTGTCCAGGTCGGTTTTGATGTGGCGAAGCGGAGGTTGGTAAGGAGGCATGTGTTGGCGGGCATTGCGAAGGATGAGGAGGAGGCGGGGAAGAGGGCAGATGAAAACGATTTGATTAACGGGCAGCAGATTGTGGACGAGATGATGGAGGTTGATGAGGTGGTTATTAGTCGGGAGGATGGGGAGTGGGGGGAGCTGTAATGGGGATTTATGAGGGAACTGCACATGGCATCGGATATTTACGACAGTATCTTTATGCATGAGAAAACTGGAACGAGGATGATAATCCGAATGCTTGCACAAGCTTCATTTGACAGATCGATATGGGATGGCGGACGTGTGGCGGATCGGTTTCATATCGTGACAGTCTCGTCTTCTAATAGCAGGAGTGGATAACATATTTTATAAGGTAGATTAGCTAGGTAGTTGAACACTATAAAGGTACACCTGAATGTCGGATAATAAGGTACATTGATTATCAAATATATTATACAATAAACAACGGTATAACAAACGCCATTTTAAGGTGTAAGGAAGAGCCGTCATAGGGGGTCGGTCTCAGTTAGAAGGCTGTGTCGAGCGCCCTAGCCAAAGAGCCCGATCCATTCACCCGCCTTGATCTCGAACGCTCTCATCTAATTTATACTCCTTAAGAAGCAGTTTTGCAATTCAGTGGAAGGCGAATTGAGTGTCGCTAATTTGGTTAGATAACTCTAAGATCCAGCGGTTCCACCGCCTCGTACCTTCAAGTATCACCTTGCATAACTGGTTCCCAAAATGAGGCTCACTTATGCACGAGCCACAAATGCCTGGCGGTGGTATGTAAGCATTTCTATCCGTTTGGGTACAACTCAAAGGCGATACCTCAACGCGGCGGCCAGAATCCATCAACTCTATATAATGCTCTGGCACCAAAGAAACCCAGGTTCTGTATATTTACTTCTGGATGTGGTAGGACGGACCAAGTTTGATTGTATACCACAGATAGGTGGTAATCGAGATCTTGTAACAGCATCACTCGAAGACAACCTCAGAATAGTCGAACTCCTGATCGAGCGAGGAGCAGACGTCGACATTCAAGGCGGCGACTACGGCAGCAAGCTACAAGAAAAGGACCATTCCACTGCGCGCTTCTCGTGACATTCTACTCTGATTGAATCAATTACAGTGACAATGTTCCTAATGTGTGCCATAATTTGACGTTGCGTGATCGAGAACGACCAAGATACCTCGCTCTGTTTTGCGATAGATGGACGGCGTAACCACTGTAGCAATGGGTCAGTGGGCGAGTGGGCTGCCCAGTGGGGCCGTAACGTTATGCTTTCAGCGCTGGAGCACAGCGCTATGGTTTTTTACCAATTCATTTTTTGCAACTTCCAGTATGGCAGAATGGCGCCATGATGGTATTGGTGGCCGGGGTAAAGCATCTAGCTTAGATGCATGAAAGGGAAGGCAAGGGGGAAAATGGGATGGACATGCGGGGTGCACACATTCATAGTAGGGCTTTCCGACAGATGGCTTCGTAATGACTCAAGAATGTGAATGAATGACTAACGTACCCCACAAGCAAGTTGGCCACTTTTTCTTGGCACCGTACGAACAACCTTTTAATTAACATCTTTACACATACCAAGATGGGATCGAATTGGAAAGAAAGCGACATGATTCTAGCGTGTCAGGCGCTTCAATCGAAACCCGAATTAAGCATCCGACGCGCTGCCCAACTCTACAATGTCCCTCGTACAACTCTAGCTAACCGAAAACGCGGACTACTATCTCGACGCGATACTCGACAATCTAGTCATAAGCTTACGGAATCAGAAGAGTTAGCGGTCGTACAATATATACTTGACCTAGATTCGCGATCATTTCCTCCCTGGCTCCATGGTGTTGAAGCTATGGCTAACCGACTGCTCCGTGACCGTGGCGCTGGACGCGTCGGCGTCAACTGGGCCTCGAACTTCGTACGACGACAACCAGACCTTCGGACGCGTTTTAATCGAAGAATCGACTACCAACGAGCCTATTGCGAAGATCCTGACGCATATCGCGCGTGGTTTACGCTCGTACGAAATACAATTGCGAAATATGGTATCCAAGAGGCGGATATCTATAACTTCGACGAGACAGGGTTCGCGATGGGCTTAATCTCATCCGAGATGGTAGTTACAAGTGCCGAACGACGCGGAAGGCCTCGTACAGTCCAACAAGGCAATCGAGAATGGGCTACAGTAATCCAGGGTATTAATTCGTCCGGCTGGGCTATCCCGCCGTATATTATTGTCGCGGGTCAAAACCACCTCTTATCCTGGTACGAGAATAGCCCATTCCCGTCCGATTGGGTAATCGCTGTAACCAAAAACGGTTGGACAACAAATGAGCGAGGCGTAGACTGGATTCAGCACTTTGATCGCTATACGAAGGATCGTACGAAGGGTGTTTATCGTCTTCTTATCCTCGACGGGCATAAGAGCCACCACTCGACTGACTTCGAGCTATATTGCAAAGAGCATACTATTATTACACTTAGTATGCCTGCTCATTCGTCACATAAGCTCCAGCCTCTCGATGTAGGCTGTTTTAGGGCTTTGAAAAGGTCGTACGGCAAAGAAATTGAAGACCTAATACGGGCGCATATAACCCATATCTCGAAGGAGGATTTCTTTTCGGCATTCTATAGGGCGTATTGTACGACTATAACTAAGTCGAATATCCAGGCAGGTTTCAGGGGGACAGGACTTATTCCGTACGACCCGGAATATGTGATTTCACAGCTGGATATTAAGCTACATACGCCTACACCTCCTGGGAGCTCGTCTGGCGCCCCCTTAATCTGGGAATCAAAGACTCCAAATAACCCAACCGAGGCGTAATCCCAGTCTGAATACGTTGAAAACAGAATCGTACAGCATCAGAGTAGTTCCCCGACGACAATACTTACGGCTATTGACCAATTTTCACGTGGTGCGACGGCTGTTATACATCGGTTAGTTTTACTTGAGGATGAGGTTACTACACTTCGGAAGGCCAATCAAGAGCTAAGCCGTCGTCGAAGGACTAAAAATCGACAGCTACAAGATGGAGGATCTCTTAGTTTACGAGACGCTCAGGACTTACAGTCTCAATGGGATATTGAACAGCAGCTACAGGATAATATACGTGTAAGTCGTCGTCGTACGAGACCGGCCGAATGTCACAAGCTAGAATTCGAATGGGCTAGAAGGTCGCGATCGGGCCCGCCTGGAGAAGCGGGCGAGATCATGACGATCCGATGGCGTTTCAACAAAACCTTCTAGGACATTCAAATAGTGCTCGAAGCACCAAGGACTCTTGGAGGGGCAAGTTTCCTTCTTTGTACCTAATTGATACTGGCGTTAGGAATTGACGATTGTGCCTGGCCTCTACTCACACCTCACTTATTGTTACACCGAACCACGCCGATGGCGCTGTAGGATCTGCGGAGAGCCCTGGCATAATGCTCGTACTTGTAGGAATGATAAAGATACGTACGAGGAAGAGGATTCAGATTAGTTCGAATTATTATTTTTTAGTTTAGTTAAGTTATTGAAGTTATTCATACGGTGCCAAGAAAAAGTGGCCAACTTGCTTGTGGGGTACGTTACCGAAGATGATATTTATCGAGCTCTTCAAGCAATAGCTACCGGTCAAAGCCTCCGAAAAGCAGCATATGAGCATGGTGTCCCAAGGTCTACTCTTTCACGACGGATTCAGGGAGCCCAGTCAAGAGATATAGCCTTCGCTGACTACCAGAGGCTCTCTCCAGCGCAGGAATCTCATCTGGCTGAATGGGTTCGAATCCAGGCTGCCCTAGGCCTCCCACCAACCCATCAACAGCTCAAAGACTTCGCCGAGCGTATCCTACAGATCCACAGAGACACCGAACCACTTGGAAAGAACTGGGTCCAGGCTTTTATCAAGAGGAACTCTTCAGTCAAGGTCCAGAGAAGCAGAGCTATCGATTCCCAGCGTATTAATGGAGCCTCAGTGATGCGTGCACCTAGGGGGGAGGATGCTATAATGCAGTAGTGCGCAACGTTATAGTATCTAATTGAATGGGATTCACCTAACCAGTGGGTCCCCCTACCTTTTCGTATCACTCAGCTAATGTGATCAGGCAATGGTTCAAATACCTCGCTATCCCTGAGATCAAAGCTATTAAGGCCTCGAATCGATACAATATGGATGAGACAGGTATTCTATAAGGTAGAGGATCAAATGGTCTTGTTCTAGGATCATCTGAGACTCGTTCTATACGGAAGAAACAGCCTGGATCTCGAGCTTGGACATCTCTTATAGAGTGTATCTCTACGACTGGTACTGCACTACCCCCACTTGTGATATACAAGGGGAAGTCTGTCCAGCAGCAGTGGTTTCCTCTGAACTTGACTCCATACGAAGCCTGGAGGTTTACAGCAACAGAGAATGGGTGGACGTCAGACTCTACGGCTATTGAGTGGCTACAAAAGATCTTTATTCCTTTGACTCAACCAGAGGACCCTGAAGAGACTAGGTTACTTATCATAGATGGGCATAGTAGCCACGAAACGACAGAGTTTATGTACCTCTGCTTCATAAACAAGATACACTTGCTTTTCTTGCCGCCATACACATCCCACGTTCTCCAGCCTCTTGATCAGTCAGTCTTTGGACCCCTCAAGGCAGCCTATAAGAAGGAGCTTGGTTACCTTGACCGATGGGATACTACTACTGTCGTAGGGAAGGGAAACTTTCTCCTCTGCTATAGAAAGGCACGTCTAGCAGCATTGACCGCTAAGAACATTATCAGTGGATGGAAATATACTTGTCTCTGGCCTTCGAGCATAGCTAGACCCCTTATGAGCCCCTGCTCCTTGAGAACACGTCAGCACCAATCAGACAGCCTAGTCAGAATTTCAAAGGGTACTCTGATAGTAAGGGTAGGCAGGACTGGGCGTTAGAGACATCAGCAGTAGCCTGGTCAACGCCTAAGAGGAGAGATGAGCTCCAAGATCAACTCAGCTTATTCAGCAAGCTTGATAGTGATCCAAATACCCAGCGGCTACTCTTTCGGAAAGTTCAAAAGGGCTTTGATGAGAAGGACTACCAATTAGCTGTCGCACAGCGAAAGATTGAGGTAATAGAGGCAGAGCTTGAGGCTAGTAGGGCTAGAAAGCGGAGGAAGGTCAAGATGAGCCCAAATTCGAAGTTTACTAATATCAAGGCTATTCGGAAGGCTCAAATCGAGGCTGGTGAAATTGAGGATAGTACAGATGAGTCTAGCGAGTCTGAAAACCCTAGTGACGGTCAAAGCTGTATTGTAGTCGCATTAGAATAAGTGTAAAAAAAGGTTGAAGTTAATGGTTATAATATACAGCATCATTTTTAGGGCGTCCCACATGTGGGGGTGTCCCGGATGTAGGTGTGGGACGTTATCTCGACTCTGACTGTTTGGTGGATTTTCAAGCGATTCAACACGGTAAGTCATATTTACGATATGGCATACCTGTCAGGCCTTCGCTGATGTGGATTAGCTTGAAGGAGTACTCGAACGTCGGTTGGCCTGGCTTGTTGGTGGAGAGAAGCAAATAGATGTCGAACAAGGCTCTATACCGGCAGCGAAAAGAATGGAACGTACTATGCAGTTCTCCACACACGGGGAAAAAGGACTTGATCAGGGGTTAGCCCATGACTATAGTTAATGGCTTAAGTTAAAAAAACCGCGAGAGAGAGAGGCGCGTTTGAGCGAATTAAGTGCAAAGGGATATCTTTGACATATTAGAATGATGGTACATGTCCATATTCAGATGTCAAATCAGTTCTTTGTTAAGGAGGAACTCTCGTTTATGCAGCCAAGCTCTTTAACAAGATTGCGACGTCAGGGGGATTTCTGAAATAACGCGGTATTGGATGATACATCATTTGTAGACAGAATAATGAAGCTTGATTGAGCGTACAGTATGTTCAGAGGAATCAAAGACAATTGAACGCAGAAGAGTTGGAGCTGCAAGTGACAGAGATTCATAGGAACAAACTCGTAACAGATCATCCTAACACGCGCGACATTTATTATACATGATCTGGTCTTGAGGTGGAAAGATCAAGGCCAAGATGCGAAAGAGACATATGAGTTCGTCATCCAGAACGCGTTTTTGAGCGGACGGCTACAAAAGCATTACAGTAATAATTTGGAACCGTACAGCATAGTACTGTCAGCGTCAAAGATATTCGCTGGAAGCCTGATTTTATGTAGTGCAGTACGTAGAAAATTGCTTACTTCATGTGATGTACCACTTGGCAGTCATCAACAACACCAAAGAGTCATATATTAAATAATATTAAATACGCCGTAGGTGTTAACCCTCGGTACCTCTACAAGTACTCCCTTAAGGGGCTATAGATGATATAGCGGGCCCTTAAGCCGCGTCGGGCGGTTATACAGGTAAACTTGTAGCCAAACGACTACTAAACCTCCTGTCCCTCCCTAAGTCTGTGCTACAACCCCTGCCTGAACTACCGATAAGTGTGGTAATGTGGCACTTAAATTCGTCCTCAGGGGTGGGATGCTGCTGATGTGCAGAAGATGCTCGACTATTTTTTTTGTCGCGACAAGTCGTAGTATCTGCTAATTGGGGTTCTCGTCGAGCGTATACATCTCAACCATACGCTCAAGTGGATAGACCGTAACGTGGTCTAGACGCTCGCAAGAATCGCGGCGAGAGGGCGTGCTGCGCGCCTTCTATCGTGAGGGGACGGGTTCGCCGACGAGCGTTATCGGATAGGCGAGGTCCGATAAGGGGCCGGATTAACGATTCGAATTCTGGACCGGCTGTCGAGTTATATTCCGCCGACGTAGTGCTTGACGGTCGACTGGCTAGGATGCTCGTAATCCTAAACTGCACCAATCTCCCTATTATCGCTAGGTAGGCGAAGTCAACAAGGTGGGCAGCGCGCCATAAGGGTTGACTAAACCCCCTTGTGTGTCAGCTGCAGGATTCGAACCCGCGACTCGTCACCGACCCAAGTGGGCGAGGCTGAAATCGGGACTTATCTACCAGCGAAGTGACCAACTACACCAGCCGACAGTCATATATTATATTGTGCATAAAGTCTGGAATAAAACCTCAATGGAGAACTAGTTATGTAAACCGGCACTTGAAGGTACGAACCGATTTAAGCCACCAAGCTACGAGTCCCAGTGGCTGGTAAGCACGCGACTCTTGGTCTGGCACGTGACCCCTTGTATCTAATACGTTATGGTATTTGTCGAATATCACGTGTGTCCAATCGAATAGTCAGAAGTGCGTAAGATTGTATATGAATGAGGTGTATTTGTTCTCTGTCCTCTCGAACTCCCGTTGCTCTGTCTTTTATAGATTCTTTAGAACATATCGGAGGTACATTGTTCAGGTATCTGACCCCTAAGTGGACAGTAACTTTGGTGTTACTTTTGAGAAAAGGGGGTCCCTTCGCCTTCTGAACTTTAAGTGACAATAGTCTTCTCCAGTGCCATATCATTTCTGAACCTAGGAACCAGGTGCCCTATCTGACAGTATTTACAGCGAGACAGGATATAATTGATGCGTGCACCTAGGGGGGAGGATGCTATAATGCAGCAGTGCGCAACGTTATAGTATCTAATTGAATGGGATTCACCTAACCAGTGGGTCCCCCTACCTTTTCGTATAAATAATGCACGAACCTTTCAAGCTGAAGTAGAGATATCTGATAAAGATTATTATTATTAAATACGCCGTAGGCTCGAAGCCCCCGGTACCTCTACAAGTGCTCCCGTATGTCAAACCGTGCCCTAATGGCTGGACTAAATACATACGCTGCTACGTAGGTTCGCTCTATTAGCGACTGCGTTACGTCCACCACAATACTATGTGAGTTCTCACCCTACTAACAAAGTCCCCCTGAGAAGATCGATATTATCCGGGCCTAAGCGCTATCCAGCCAGTCCTGAGTAGCCACCTTGTGATAGTCCCGCTGACTACTGGTTTCCCCGTCGCCGTTGCCAGGTCTCTACGTGTATGCAGCGGCCATGGTGCGATAGTGGCCCGTAGGCGCTCTCTCGATTCTTCCAGCAGGCCGCAAAAGAGGATTACGTGCTCTGCCGTCTCGGGGGCCTCTCCACAGCGGCATAACGGCGAGTACACACCGAAGGCTCCTATCTTAAATAAGAAAGCTGATAGTCCTATTTTTCCGGTCCTGATCTGGCATAGGGTAGACGCCTCCGGTCGGTTTAGGTCTGAGTACTTGCCCTGTTTCGGCATTCGCATCGAGGGGCCCTCCTGCTCCTCGGCGATAGCGCGTCGCTGGCGGTCGTGTTGTGCTGCCCCGGAGAGCCATCTCTTCTCCCAGTGATCTAGGAGGGCGGCCGGGACTTCCTTCTCTGATAAAGAAGATTCTGATTAAATCGAGTTCAATAGTAGCAAAACAACTATGACATATAAAATTTAAGGTTGTAACAGTTACGATAAGCTGCTTAGGTGCGAAAACTGCTTGTGGATAACGTTAACTTCAAACATAATTGAAGCTGGGCTACTAAGTTGTATCTGCTGAAGCTATGCACCGGTAAATGCATACGTGATAATATCTTATCTTATCAGCCCCAGAAAAATTTTGGCAATGAACCCATCCGTCTTATTGAACTTAAGTGTGCAATTCCACGAGGAAATACGTTCAATTGCCTAGCGATTGAATCCTGTAACATGTCGTCCTCAGACGAGTCACGCTCCGCATCCCCGGATCCTGCGGCCGCGACTTTCACATCCAAGAAGCGCAAGACCCAAGTCGACGAAATCGAAGTCGACCTCAACCTTCCCGAGCCTCCTTCCAAAAAAGCGAAGCGTCTCCTCAAGAAAGGCAAGGCGCTGCCCATCAAGCCCACCAGCGATGATGACGCCGACGACGATGACCCGACCAAATCCGGCAAAGGCGGCAAGGCCAAGTCGAAGCGCTCCGAATTCGGCGTCTGGATCGGCAACCTGCCGTGGACCATGACGCGGACAGAGCTATTCAAATGGTTCGTCGAAAGCTCCGGCGGCGCCATAACAGAAGAGAACATTACACGCGTCAACCTACCGCCGAGCAAGCTGAAGCGGGAAGTAATACCCGGCGAGGACAGGCCCAGGTTCCAGAACAAGGGCTTCGCGTACGTTGATTTCGACACCGAGGCCGTAGCGGTTGCCGCCATGGCGCTCACGGAAACGGAGCTCAACGGGAGGAAGGTGCTCATTAAAAACTCGAGTTCGTTTGAGGGTCGGCCGGCGCCGCAGGCGGAGGGGGTGGCAGATGCTGTTGCCGCGGTGTCGACAGAGAAGAAGAATGAGTGTAGGAAGATCTACGTGGGGAATCTCTCTTTCCAGACTACGGAGGATGATCTGTGGACGCTGTTTGATAAGTGTGGCGAGATTTACTGGGTGAAAGTAGCTACGTTTGAAGATACGGGGAAGTGCAAGGGATACGGTTGGGTTAAGTTCCGGGAGGCGGAAGCGGCGGAGTGGGCGAAGAAGGGGTTCGTGAGGATTAAGGAAGCCGTGGAGACGGAGGATGATTTCAAGGATAGCGAAGCTGAAGCTGCCGAGACGAAAGAGCCGCAGGGAAAGAAGTTCACAACGAGGAAGTGGTGGGTTAACCGGCTTAGAGGCAGAGAGCTGAAGATTGAGTATGCGGAAGACGACCAGACGCGGTACAAGAAACGGTTTGGAAAGGACCGGCCGCCGAGGGAACAGACCGAGAATGGTGCTGAGGGGAAAGAGAATACGACACCACGAGCTGCGCCTCCTCGGAGAGCGGCGCCGCCACCGAAGCCGAAGGGGTATGGTGATGAAGGCGTCAAGTCGTATCTCACGGGTGGTCTGGTTAAGCCGGAGGGCAAGAAGGTCACTTTTGATTAGCGTGACTTGTCCGTGGCTGAACCTATGCCCTGCATAGTCTAATACTAGAAATGAGGATTCATGATCTTACTTAATTTGCTGGTAACTAACGTTTATTTGTCGACATTGGTATTTGACTCCAGCTTGGAAGAGGTGAGATACATAGCTCTCGTCTCTGCTCATCCTGTCTTTCTTAAATCTCTTCAAGCGAAAGAATCAGGGTACTGTGAACAGTAGTGGAAATTATCCAACTATATCACAAGTAGTGGTGCAACAACCTAGGAGTAAGCCTTTTAGCCAATGGGGCATGGGAATTGCCCTGAATCATTTTTCTCCTACTTGTTTTCAAATCGGCTAATGCTTTATACGTACGATGATGAGAGCATGAGGGTGTCGAAGTTATCCAATGACAAGTGCGATCAATGGCCAATCCGCCTATGCAAGCTGCGTGGTGGGATTCAGTTGATTTGTTGCAACGCCTGACTGTTTTTAGTTTGGTTGCTATCATTTTCACAACGTCTGTGTCGAGAACGGAGAAGAATAATCGTCTCGGTCCCAGAAAGTACGCCGCTGGAATCGCCTAGTTGATAAGTCTGCGGTACCAGCCCCAACAGTCCTCGTGATGACGCGGTCATTGCTCGGCCAATAATGTTTCTTTGTATCGTACTAGCAAGCAACCTCGTTGGAAACTCTTTACCTGATGACACTGCAGCCGCTTCTCGACACGCAACATCTCCCAGTTTTGCTAAAGGCTAGATCTGTTGCGTGGCTAGTATCAGCATATTTGGAGTCGGAGAGAGTTTCACAATCTTTCGCATCGCCGTAGCAGCTCTGAGGACGTCTTCGAAGGTATTCTTTGGCTGCAAAAATTCTTAAACAATCTGGGGAGCGGCTCAACATGAATCCTCGCATTGTCGTATCCTTTGGTCCTTCAAAAGGGATCGTCCTCCTTAGCTCCCCATAGAAGACAGCCCTCATTTAAATTCATGAAGTTGCAGGCCTATATCGACTGTGGTCCTCTGGAAGAGTCTATTGGGTCTTGAAAGACCTTGGACACCTATTGTGCTCATATTGGAGTATTCACATGCGAGGCCGAGCCCTGCGTATACATTACCTCTCGAGTCACTGACATTATTTCTCTGAGGAGCCCTGAAGACGAATCGTTGGTCGACAGCAGAGTTATTGGATCCTTACTGGCCTAACGGTCCATTATCTGAGCCATCTACATACCAAAGACACCTCTTAGTAGAGAATAGCGCGAGAAGACACAACCCCATGCCATGCCTCAGTTCATCCCTGAAATGGATGATATTTTCATGCAGGGCTCTTATCCAGAATGTCATTCCCTACAGATCATCCCATCTAATGCAATCATCTACACCACAGAAACTGCGGGATTCTTTCACTTCTCTCTGGCAGGCCTTTATGCCTTGGGGGGAAGGGATGAGGCCGCGGGAGACATTGACGTAAGGGCCAATCATGTGGTCAACTTCCCTCAATACTCGAATGTTAAACCTGCTCAAATAATCACACGAGTCTTACGTGCTTACCCCCATGTCAAGACTGCCGGCTAAGGCACCTCGGGCCAAGAAAGGAAACGACCGGCGCCGAACAAGGGCGGTAATATACAGTGCCGCAGCGGTCCTCATCTGCCTAGTTAGCCGGGCCGGTCAGCCGAGCCTTTTGAAGACTTTAGCCTCAACTTCTCCGTTGCATTACCCCCACGGGGTAGTACAGGCAGATTTTGCGATTTCGCAGCTTGGCACCCCTTTTTAATGGACAACGCCGCACCGGCGGGGGTTCCGATGCTGTGACGTGACCAGACTCACGTCCTACCACAATCCGATCTCAACCTTTCTTCATTGAAGTGTACTGAGCAACCTCACATGCTGATTGAGCCAGAAATGTCATACGAGGACGGAAAAATCCTAGGCCCAACGCAAAATGGCGAACGCTACGAACTCACCAGCCCCACGGCTTTGCCGAAAGCAGGTGGCTTCCTCTGGAATCAGAAGATGATGATCCAGGCGACGTGTCGGGGTTACGCGACAGCGCAGTTCATGCAGCCTGAGCCGGCCAAGTACTCGCACGCGCCCAACATCGAGGCTAGGACTTTCATGCAGCCTGAGCAGAACTATTATGCACACCATCCGGGGCGATTCGTCTATGTCAAGGATGAGGAGACCGGAGAGTTTTTCTCGGCGCCGTATGAACCGGTTCGCGCACCGTTGGAGAAGTTCGTCTTCTCGGTGGGCAAGAGCAATATTTCTTGGACGGCGGAGCATCTAGGAATTAGAGTGGAGATGATTTTGGGGTTGCCTACGGATGATGTGTCGGAGTTGTGGACGGTCAAAGTTACGAATGTGTCGGGAGAGCCGAGGAAGATCAGCATGTATCCCTATTTCACTATTGGCTACATGTCGTGGATGAATCAGGGTGCAGACTACAGGGAAGACCTGGGTGGTGTGGTTGGGAGCAGCATAACTCCCTACCAGAAAGCTGACGATTATTACAAGAACAAGTATCTAAAGGACAAGACGTACCTCCTCTGCGAAACACTGCCGGATTCATGGGAGACAAATCAGGACGCATTTGAAGGAGAGGGTGGGTTGCATGCACCGTCTGCAATACTGGAGCTAGAGCTGAAAAGGGGCGACGCACGGTACGAGACACCCACGGCTGTAGTGCAATATCGCGTCTCTTTGAAAGCGAATGAAGAACGGGAATACCGCTTCCTCTTCGGCCCAGCTTTCGATGACGCAGAAATTCTCACGATGCGAAGTAAATACCTAAGCAAGGAAGCCTTCGCAAAAACCGCCTCTGAGTACGCAGAGTACATGTCCCAAGGCCGCGGTTGTCTCCAGATCGAATCCCCGGACAAAGAACTAAATAATTTGGTCAACAGCTGGCTCCCACGCCAAGTCTACTACCACGGCGACGTGAACCGCCTGACAACCGACCCTCAAACGCGCAACTACATGCAGGACAACATGGGTATGAGCTACATCAAACCCTCCGTAACTCGGCAAGCGCTCGTCCGCGCCCTCTCCCAACAGGAACCCACCGGCGCCATGCCAGACGGGATCCTGCTCATCGAGGGCGCGGAGCTGAAATATATTAATCAGATTCCGCACACGGATCATTGTGTTTGGTTGCCTGTAGCGTTGGATATCTACCTTTCCGAAACGGCCGACTACGCGCTCCTGGAGGAGAAAGTCCCCAGTAAAAATGGAGATGAGTACACGGTGCTGGAGCGCTTCAGCCGCGCAATGGATTGGCTTCTCTCTTCTAATTCCCGTGACGAAAGGGGGCTAAGCTACATTGCCTCAGGCGACTGGTGCGACCCCATGAACATGGTCGGCCCAAAAGGGCGCGGTATATCAGGTTGGTTGACCGTCGCAACGGGGTACGCCCTCAATGTCTGGTCCTCCATCTGCGAACAAAGCAGCAAGTTCGACCTAGCAACAAATTACCGCGATGGCGCGAAGCAGGTCAACGAAGCGGCTAACAGACATCTCTGGGACGGCGACTGGTTCGCGCGCGGCATCACGGACGACGGGGTGAAATTCGGGATTAAAGATGATCCCGAGGGACGCATTTGGTTGAATCCACAAGCGTGGTCTATCCTCGGTGGAGCGGTTAGTCCGGAGCAGAGGAAAAAGGTGATGAAGCAAGTTGACGAACACCTGAGCACCCCCTACGGCGTGCTTATGTTCGCGCCTCCTTTCTCAGGGATGCGCGAGGATATCGGTCGGGTAACGCAGAAGTTCCCTGGTCAAGGCGAGAACGGGAGTGTGTATAACCACGCGGTCGTATTTTACATCTGGGCGCTGTACAGCGTTGGCGGGGAAGCAGAAGCGGATAGGGCGTATGGGTTGTTGAGACAGATGGTGCCTGGCCCGCAGGAGGAGGATTATGTGCAGAGGGGGCAGTTGCCAGTGTATATACCGAATTACTATCGTGGGGGTTGGAAGGAGTTTCCGAGGACGGCGGGGAGATCTAGTCAGTTGTTTAATACGGGGACGGTGGGGTGGGCGTATAGGTGTTTGGTGGAGGGATTGTGTGGGTTGAGGGGTGTGAAGGAGGGTTTGAGAGTGTGGCCACAGTTGCCGGGGGATTGGGAGGGGATGAGGGTTACTAGGTTATTTAGGGGGGCGAGGTTTGAGGTCGATGTGAAGAGGGGGGATGTCGAGAGGGTCGAGGTGAAAGTTGATGGGAAGATTGTGCCAGAAGGGCTTGTGAAGGGAGTACAAAAAGGGGAGACGTATAAGGTGGAAGTAGTCGTGCCAAGGAGAGGGTAGGTAGATTCTTATGTAAAAAGCTCATTTTAGTATGTGTGTGAGTTGGATGCATGGATTCGAAGAAGTACAAACTCCAGCATTTATCGCATATCTTATTTTCCTTGCGGATGAAAGGACATGGTGAAGATTTCCGGAACAAGTCATGCCAATATAATTATCTACAGCCTCTGATCACCTTGCCCTGCGGAAAATCCTCATAGGTCTCTGCGCTAGGGGGCAGTTGCTGGGGGATAAGTCTACAGAACATCTCTACCGTCCATCTATGCTGTATGCCCTTGTAACTGAGACAAAAAAAGACGTTAGTCGTAGATTTAACCTCATAAAATGTAGCTAGCTAGTACGTTTCCTACAAGGTATCAAGGTTGACAGTTTGATCTCGCCTCCCATTAAATGATTCCTTGCTCCTTCTGTCAGCACTAGAGGAAGGGTCGAATAACATAACCGTCGCCCCAGCTGATCACCCAACCATGCCCCAAATCGTGCTGGTGGTGTGGATCCGCCAAGCCGTAGTGTATAGCACTAAAAAATACTAGCGCTGGTCATCTAATTCGAATACTTCCATGTTATTCAGGTTTCTGATCCCTCGATTTCGATTATAACTACTCTGGGTAAGGTAGATAACCTCAACTACTCAACCCCGCAGATTTCCCAAAAATGAACACCATGCCCGAACTCAAAACTATCCGCACCCCGACCCTGGAAATAGCCTATCACGACCACGGTGCCTCAACCGGCTGGCCCGTGATACTCTCCCACGGCTTCCCCTACTCCATCCACGCCTACGAAGAAGTGGCCCCCCTCCTCTTCGCCCAAGGCGCCCGCGTCGTCATCCCTTACCTACGCGGCTATGGCCCGACGCGTTTTCTCTCTCCTTCAACCATGCGATCAGGTCAACAAGCAGCACTAGGTACGGATTTGCTTGCGCTTATCCATGCACTAGGTATCGAGAAAGCCATCATCGCGGGATTCGACTGGGGTGGTCTAGCGTCCTGCGTTGTGGCTGCGCTATGGCCGGACAGAGTGGAAGGGTTAGTGTCTTATGCCGGGTATGATATCATTGATCGGCCTGCGCAGCGGAGGGCTGCTGGGCCGGGGTTGGAGTGCGTGATGTGGTACCAGCATCTGTTTCAAAGCGAGAGAGGGAGGGAATGTCTCCAGGGGAATCGGAAGGAGTTGTGTCGGATATTGTGGGAGCAGTGGTCGCCGACATGGGAGTTTAGTGATGAGGTGTTCGAGAAAACTGCTGCTTCGTTTGATAATCCGGATTTTGTCGATGTGGTGATACATTGCTATCGTCATGTTCTCGGGTCAGAAGAGGGAGATCCGAAATTGCAGGAGCTAGAGGAGAGGCTGGCGAAAAGACCGAAGATTCGGGTACCATGTATAACGCTGGATGGGACGAAAGATCCGCTGAAGCCGGGTGGAACGGCTTCGCACAATAGTATGTTTACGGGGCGGTATGAGAGGTGGGAAAGAGATGTAGGACATGCATTTCCAATGGAAGCGCCAGGAGTATTCGCTGAGGCGGTGTTGAAGATCCACCAGTGGGCATGTCATCAATGAGTTACAGGCACGATAACCAGTACACAAGCAGTGACGCATAGGGTCGAGCACGAATTCAAAAGATTGTCTTCAGCTCGGGTATAAATATCCCTTTGCTCTTTTGCGAAGGTCTCTTTATTTAGAATAGCTGTAATAATTCCTGTTTGAGGGTTGAGAATGAGGCTCGGAGTGGGAATAAGTCTACTAACTCAACTGAGTTGCCTGCAACCACTCCTAACTTTAGTGTACTAGAAATATCATCAACATCTACTGCTTATATAGTGTCCTGCGTAAATTTTGGGTTCTACTTTTCTATATCTCCCAGCAATACGTAACAGCTTTCTTAGGCCTGTTACACTACAATGATGCCACGCAGAATAAGTATAAAGAGCAAATAATCTATTTATTATTATTATTAAATACGCCGTAGGCTCGAAGCCCCCGGTACCTCTACTAGTACTCCCGTATGTCAAACCGTGCCCTAATGGCTGGACTAAATACATACGCTGCGTCGTCGGTTCGCCCTATTGGCGACTGCGTTGCGTTCACTACCATACTACGTTGGTTCTCAACCTACCAACAAAGTCCCCCCTGAGAAGATCGATGCTATCTGGGCCTTGAAGCTGTCCGACCCGTCCCTAGCAGCCATCTTACAATAGTCCCACTAACTACTGGTTCTCCTGTTGCCGTTGCGAGGTCTCTGCGAGAGTATAGTGGCCGTGGTGCGATGGCGGCCCGTAATCGTTCCCTCGGTCCTTCCAACAGCCCGCAAAAGAGGATTACGTGCTCTGCCGTCTCAGGGGCATCGCCACAGCGGCATAGCGGCGAGTACACGCCAAAAGCCCCTGTCTTGAATAAGAAGGCTGCTAGTCCTATTTTTTCCGTCCTGATCTGGCACAGCGTAGACGCCTCCAGTCGGTTCAGGCCGAAATACTTGCCCCCTTTCGGTATCTGCATCGAAGGGCCCTCCGGTTCCTCAGCGATAGCGCGTCGCTGGCGATCGTGATGCTCTGCTCCGGTGAGCCATCTCTTCCTCCAGTGGTCGAGGAGGGCAGCCGGGACCTCCTTTTCCTCACTCATCCACTCGGAGCCCCGGGCCTCCTTCTCCATAGTGTACCCTGCCGGTCGGAGTAGCTGCGACGCCTGCTTCCTCTTCGCCGGCCTATCCTGCCGGAGTATATGTGACGCTTTAGCGCTCGCGCTGCGAAGCAGATTTCTCTTCCCGCTAAGCCGTAGCCGTTCTTCAAACTTAGCAGCCCGGGCACTAAGATAGAGGTCTAGTGGCGGGATTGCTGCTTCTGCTTCCAGGTGGCGAACCGGCGTCGCTTTGTGGGCACCACAGACTACCCGGAGGCACTCGTTCTGTATCCCCATCAGGCTCTTAGCTGGCCCTGCCGGTTCCTCACTTATAGTATGCCACGCAGTCGCCCCGAAGGCAATCGCGCTACGGATAACCACCGTATATAACAGCCTCGCCCGTATAAGATCGCAGCCCCACGACATATTGACTAGCTTTGTCAGGGCTAGCTTTTGAGTTGCCATTTTTGTTTTAACACGCTCAACATGGGCGTGCCACGTCAGTTTGCGGTCGAACCAGACTCCTAGGAACCTGGCTGAGACTACCGGCGACACTGTGGCGTCCCCAAGGCGAATACTTTGCGGCAAGGGCTCTCGGGCCCTAGTAAAGTGCATTAGCTCACTCTTGTCAGGAGCGAACTCCATCCCGTGCCTCACTGCCCACCGCTGACACGTAGCCCATGCGCTCTCCAACCGGCGGCAGGTCGTGTCTGGATCGGTGCCGACGCTTAGCAGGTTCGTGTCGTCCGCGAACCCGACTACTAAAAGTAGTGGATGCTGCTCCGCTAGCTCCTCGTACAGCGTTGAAATGTATAATATAAACAGTATCGGGGATAGCGGTGACCCCTGGGGGACGCCAGCTCGTAGGGGGATTGGCTCTGACTCCTTGCCATCGAACCGGAGGCGTACCGTTCTATCCTCCACGAAGCTGCGTACCCACTCCTGAACCCACTCCGGGTAGCCTTTCCGGGCTAATATGGAAATCAGCCGTCTGTAATTGACCGTATCGAATGCCCCCTTGATGTCTAGCTGTAGCAGCGAGGCGATGCCCCCGCGTCTCCACGCCGTATAGACCACGTCCTCAACTATACGTATTGCCAGTTCGGTGGACCTCCCAGCGCGGTTACCCATTTGGCCGTTTGGTAGTAGGCCGGCCGCCTCAGCTACTTTGGTGATACGCTGGCTCATCGCCGTCTCTATTACCTTCCCTACCGTGCTAAGCAGGGCAATGGGGCGCCAGCCGCCAGGGGTCTGCTTCTGAGCTGTCGTTTTATTAGGCTTAGGGATAATAACCACCCTCGCTGAGCGGAAGCGCTCCGGGTAGTACCCCAGCCTAAAGCTAGCTGTTGCCAGATCCGCTAGGATCTCCCATAGGGGTTCACCGCAGGCCTTTAGCAGGCCAGTGGGGATCAGGTCGTCGCCGGGAGCCTTCCGAGCAGCCGTTCCTTTGATGATAGACTCGATATCCATTGTGGTCACCTCCCTAGGGACGTTCAGCTCTGGTCTCGTCTGTAATAGGCCGCGATCGAGGTCCGATAGATCTATATACGGGTCTGGGAAGAACCTCTCAGCTAGTAATTTTGCCTTCTCATCATGTGTACGTGCTGTAAGCGTGTCGCCGGCGTCCCTCCGGAGATCTGGCAAGCCGTGGGCCTCAGGGGGGGCCCAGCTCCGTAGCCTAGCCCACCTCTGCAGTGCCCACAGGCTTTTGTGATCCTTCGCCGTCCCCTCGAGCTTCTCGTGCCAGCTACGCGTCTGCGCTTCGCTGATTTCGAGCCGTTGTTTTTGGCCGGCTCTTGTATATTCGTCCCAGTTGGTCTGCGACCTTGCCTGGAGGTAGTCCCGCCGTCGTCTCTTCGTCTCAGCGCAAGCCTTGCTAACCTGCGGGCACCACCACGGGACCCCAGCGCCTCGGCCAACGGTGCGTCTCGGGACCGCCACGTCGGCGATCTCTTGGAGGTTCCGGATAACCCAGTCAACAGCCTGGTCCAACTCCGTTATCGTCTCAACCGGCAAATAATTCATAAATCTCTGGCTTGATTCGGCTACGATGAGCCACTTATCCGCCATCGCCCAGTTCCACCCTTCGACACTGCGGCGGCCCTCCTTGACTGCTTCCCCGTTGGATATTACCCTAATCACTTGCGCTCTGTGGTCTGAGCCCTCTAGGCCCGGGTCCCCATCGTAATCAATCCTAGCCCCTTTCGTCACCCAGGCTAGGTCGATAGTTGAGTCTCGTTGTTTGTGCCTTTGCCGTGTGATTTCCCCGAACGGCGTAACGAGCTCTAATCGCCAGCGTCGCGCAAACTCCACTACGTTGTCGCTGCCCCGTGACGACCGTCCGTGGACGTCCCACAGCGGGTGATGTGTATTGAAGTCCCCTACGAGGACCTGTGTCCCCTCCGGCGCCCCATTAGGGAGGTCTTGGAGCGGGCTGACCCAGCGGCTCCCGGTCTGGTTTGGTGAATAGATAGACCAGATTGTAAGGGCGTCCGGGCCTGCCCCGAACGTAATACTGCTCCAGTCCATCCCGGTACGGGGTCGCAACGTAGCCACGTCGTATCGTTTATGGACGTATAGCGCAGCTCTGCCGCTGCTGTACACTACTTCGTACCTGGACGACTTCGGGCAATAAATCGCCTTCGTCCGCCGGTTGATCCATGGCTCTTGAACCGCTATTATATCATAGTCACCCCCCTTATCCAGCGCTAGCGTTGCGTTCGCCTTTGAATCTGCGATATTCCAGTAGAGAATAGAGACTACCATTAAGCTGTCGATGGTATATCTTCGTTCGTACGTCCCTTAGTGAGGAAGCTACGCATTGCTGACGCAGACCGTTCGGTTCGCTCCTGCTCCACTCGCGATCCGCCCAGGGGGCGGCCCCGGGGTCGTACAACTGTAAACCCGTCGCTGGTCAACGAGCTAGGTGGTGTGAGCCTGCCCTCACTAGATAACCCGTCCGAGTAGCTGCGGACCTCAAATTGTCGGGGGCGGTGAGCGTACGCCTCGCGTACGCGTAGCCGCTGCTGTTCTGCCGTAGGGCAGTCCCTGTCCCACGCCGTGTGCTTCCCTTTGCAGTTCACACAACGTTTTTTGCCGCTAGGTGCCTTCTCGGGGCAGTCTTTTTCACCCCCTGGGTGTGCCGTTGCAGCGCAGACGCCGCAACGCGCCGTCTTCTTGCAGTGTTTCGCGATATGGCCGTATTCGTAGCACTGGTAGCACTGCCGAACCCGAAGATTGCCGTCGTACGGCTCGCAATCGAATATCTGGGCCTCCCAAATAAGCCCTTCGGAGCATAGTTCCATCGCCGCCTCCACGCTATCCACGTGTAGTATCAGGGCCGCATACGGTGCTTGCGGCGCCCGGGGGAGGTTTCTTTTAGCCTTAGAGAGGTGCTTTGTATTGTCCCGCTTCAGGTCTTTAAGTAGCTGGCTCTCGTCGTGGACCTCTCGCAGCCGTTTCGCAGGCAGCCCCTTCGCGATCACTGCAACTTCTCTGCGGTTGAGAAGTGCCTTATCGCCGAAGGCACTACGCACCCACCTGCTGTCCGTGGTCGCCGCTGAGGCCGACTGCTTAAACGTCACTACGGTATCGCCACTGCGCAGCCTGCGGGCCGCCACTGCATCGGTGCTGCCGCGTGCACTGTTCACCGCTTTTACGACCTCAGCCGCCGATCTGTTCTTCATATTAGGGTCCTCTGTCCCCCGGATCACTACCTCTCTCTCCCTTCGCTGGGGCACTACAACCCGCTGCTGCCACACTGGGGCTTCACCGGGTCCCCGTCCCTGGGCCGATCCTGAGGCGATTGAGGCCCAGGATCGAGTTGTAGGCAAGGCCACGTTCTTCACCGTATCCTGCATGGTCTTCTCAACCATCGTCTGGATCGCCGCAGGAATTTCGGCAAGGGCCAGAGTCACTGCCAGTACGTCGGCATGTGTGGCGGGTCTGTCGCCCCCCTCCTCCAGCGTCCTGCCGGCTAGTTTCAACCCCAGCCAACGCTCCATCAAACCCCCCATGACCTCAATCTTCTCACGTGGGACCAAGTCGGCAATCTCTTGTTCTACCTTTTGTAGTTCTCTTCCGATCCCTTCCCTCTCTGCGTTCTTTCTGCTGGTGCGCTCCACGTTCGGTGCGTGGGCACTTTCGTTGGCGTGGGGGTGGTGAAAACTCTGTTCGAGTCCCGCCCGTCCCCCGTCGATCACCATCGGCGCCGCCATCGCTTGCGTCCTCGCTTCGCGTGCGATGCGAGGTCACTGTCCGACGTAAACGGTCGTTAGGAATCGAATGCCGCAATCGGTTTGATGATTTGACGCTGTTCGAAGAAGTTATCGATGAAAGTCAGAAATCTCTTTCAAAGGCATAATCTATTTAAAATACATACAGTGAATAGATTAATACTCGCGTTTTCTTCTAGCACACAGCCTAATATACCCGGTACCCAGGTTAGTGTTAAGGGGTGCTTGTCCGGTACAAGGTGTCAAGCACAAGCTTCTCTATGTCACCACCCTTTCCTAAAACGACATTCAGCCATCATTTATGGAATTCACGTGTCCTCCATTCCTTCGATAGATTGGTGATTGTGGCATAAGGGTCTGACATGTATAGTCCTGGAACCGATATTTTGATAATACAATCTTTTTACATGGTGCTCGGGGGAGTATCTATATGTATTATTTGACTTGACGATGGCAATGAGCCAGCTTTTTAAACGTTATTGTAGTTTTTCATGTACGTACTACGCAAAATACTGGCTAATAAGACATATCGTCATCGGAAACGGATAATCTCACTTCTCTGCGACTAATTGGGCCATGAAACTAGGTTGCAGGCATACTCTTCGTTCAAATGAAAAATGAATATAGACAGTGCTTTCTCATAATAAGGCATAATTTCAGCTGGGAACTTGTTTATTTATTCAGTCAACGTCAATTATTGATTATCTATTCCTATTCGAGAATTGAAACTGCCACCGACCTTCTTTTTCCAAGAGTGCAAGAACTTCCCCTTTTCCACTCTGACGCCACTTCCCCCACCGTTTCGATTGCGCGCTGGTTTTGCCAACAGGAGTAGTAGTATTTTAGCTGAAACCCTGGTATACACCGGATTGCTCTGGATAACCCATCTGCCTTTTCATCCATCCCCAGGCGTTGAAGAGATTTCACCGCGATGTTAACCCAAAGCAGTGTCTCTTGTATGAGTAGGCCTGACCGCACACACTCGATCAGTTGATCGACCAGTTCGTTTAATCCGTCAACCTCGGATTTCTCAGTTATACTTCGCAAGGTAGTTTTCGTTTTCCATGCATTATCAACGCATTTTCTCCCGTTCAGCACTCCTTCTATTTCGGCCACGCGAATCCATAGACAGATTATCAGAATGTGGTCCTTGAAGAAAGCTATACACCCTCCCATTCTCGTTGGAACTTCCTTCAGTTTCCTGTAGTTCTCCAAAAACGCCCTATAGTAGGCGGCCAAGTCTTTGTAAACATTATTGTTCAACCTGTAGAATTTTCGATACTGCTCGACTTTGTCGCCATGGGCTGGGGTCCAAATAGCCTCATCCGGACTTGGAAATTCTGTGACAGTGTCTTTACGTCGTCCTGTTTCCATGGGTTCGTAGAGCATCGGGTCCCCGAGAGGGCCCCAGAATTTGAATTTTGCGGGAAAAGTTGCGGCGGCTAAAGGCAAAGAGTTAGAGAAAAGAGCTGGCGCTGAACTGGTGCGCGATAAGGGGCCAGAAGACGAGTAGGTAGGACAAATTTTGACAGGCGAAGAGTAGGCAAGAGTAGAGTTCACTGGAGAAAAATAAATAGACGACGAAGGAGACGACAATGGAGTGTGAAATGATTGTGTGGGAGATGACGGGATAAACGACGATGATATTTCTTTGGTTAACGTTATAGTTGGAATACGTGGAGGTTCGGAATTACTCTCGGAGGTTGCGCTTTTAGTGATATGTCTCCCCGCGATATCATTCTCTGGTCTGGCGCATTTTGAAGTGACCGTTGCTAGGATCGCATTCTCTGAAGTAGCATTCGTTGGTATAACTTTCCCGTGGACGGCGCTATCTGTAGTGATACTCTCTCGGATAGCACCACTTGGAATGATGTTCTTTGCGCTAATGGTCTCTGGGGTGGCGGTCTCAGGACAATCGTTCTTTAGGAGGTCGCTCTTTGGAGCGGCGTTCGTTGCGATATGTTCGTTCAGGGAAACCATTTGTGTAGCATAACTCGTTAGTATGGCACCAACTGGGAGAGGCCTTCTTGTTATCTCGGTTTTATTTCGCCGACCTTTATTTTGTGCAGGTCCGTCCAGCGAAGATTTCGCTTTATAACCAGTGTTCAAACAGGCGACATCGATCTTTTTGTTATGGCCATCTTTGAGATCGTGTTTCGTGCTTGTGTAGGACCCTAACCAACTTGTTGACGAGCAGATCGACGGTGGGCTTTTTTCCGGTGTCAAACATAAAGAATCGGAATGTTTCATTTCAAAGCCCGGTTCGAATCCTCGAATAGACTTGTAAATGGTCGGACGAGAGCAAAAGCACCCCATGTTTCTCTATGGTATTGCAGTCGTGAGTCTTCGAATCCGATGTAGTCTTAGACTGGGAGACCATATAAGGATGCCCGTCTGCAGACGACGAGTGCTACCTTTGTAAAAGCGCCATGTTTTACAATCAACTGTCACTCATGATGAATTCTTGATCGTGTGATTGATGTTGGTAGAAGCCCGATAGTAAGTATTGGCTTTTTCTTTGTCACAGTCGAGGCGTACTGCACGAACCAACCAACCAACAAATCGGCCATTGTAACGGGGTAAGGCCGGACATCAGGGAAATAGGTTACGGGGCTAGGAGAAAGTTTATTTTCTCTTCTTTAAGAGGCACAGAGGCAGAGTAGGACACGAGTCCCCCATCTTCACGCATCATCATCCTCATCTTCATATCATCATCTCCTTCTTATCTATATCTTCACCTTCGCTTTTCAGTCAGTTATTTAGTTATTTTAGTTATTCAGCTTATCTTTACGTTCGAGATCCTATTATCACGATACGAGTATCAGAGGCACATCCGACCAACTCGCGCACCAGACGTATAAGAGCTTCGCTTTTATAACCAGTACCACGATCTTCGTCTGATAAGACCAACAGATGGGATCTGTTGGTACTGGAGCCGTCTGTTCAGTGTGTTAGGTGGTAGGTATATCCTACTGACCGCCTGACCCCGTTTCACCATATAAATATCCGTGGTCACATGTATGTTTGAAATAAGGAATATATGCTTGATATATTAATACTGTTAATACTATTAATACTATTGAAGGGAGAAAACCAACCTTATATGGACGGTCAGAGTGATCTTGAGGGTCGACTCTCGAAGCCTTTGATATATTAGCCCCAATTAGATCTTCAGCAATGATAATTTTCAATGTATTACAATCAGACTTCAATTAAGACCTCAGGTTTGGCTCTTAAATCATAATCTTGACGATATTTTAATCGCAGCTTGTTATAGCACAACGTAGGCGTGTCATTATAGACGAAAAGAGCTGACGCCTAGGAGTTGGCATGCGGGTAAGCTATCGTTTTATGTGGCATGGAGAACTGGAAGAAGATTTAGTGAGTGCTTGGATATGGTGCGTACCATACGAGACGCAAGAGAACCGGGCACGGTACACCCCTGATCAACCAACATGCGTCTCGAATCCCAGTATTTCCGTTTCCGGCGATTCCCCTAATAAACCGCTGCCAACTGCTCGCCCCCACAGCTAAATTCCATGCATTGCAATATCCGGGCACATTTAACAGTCAATCACAACAAGAGAGGTTCTATAATCTGGGCGCGGATCAGTTTCTCAAGGTCACGGATTACAATCAACAAATGGATAGGCCTTCCATCAGACAGACAAACACGCATGGCTTCTATAATTGGTCCTGCTTATTACCCACTGGGGGTACTTCTGTTTTCTCGAGGAATTTTCCTCACTTAACACTGATCCTTGGGATGCTATGACTTCCGACAGTGGCCAGGGAACCCTGAAATTAAATACAGCCCTGAACAACCTCTTCTCTTCAACGTCCAGCAAGCCCGTTATTTTCATGTCTTTGTCAACCTGGACTAGTTCTTCCATCTGGCTGCAGCGATATTCCTCTTCCTACTGAACCCCATGCACTATATGCACACCTAGTTCGTTTGTGTCGGTCTTATCCATGCTCATGCACACGAACACTCCAAAATTTATCCCTTACTAGATCTTGCTCAATTTCAGCATCTAGAAATTCCTTTGTCGCGGGATTAAGTCGACCGGACGATGCGAGGTAGTTCTTCAAGCAACTCGCAGATGTTCCTGGCCATTTTTCTCATATGCCTGGAGTACCTGGGTCGTATGTCCTCTACCTGCTTATTAGGGTCCCAGCTTTTGAAGGAATCGGCACACTTAATCCAACCTCATGCGGCTTCTATCAAGCACTAGAATCGATAAGGCAGAATATAGGACCATCAGATGACCACTATTGGTCTTGTGAAGCGCCTAGTTCAGTCCGAGGTGTGCTTTCCTCGTTCACGAGCTCATTATGGGCGATCTTTTATGTGGACAACTGTTCGATCTGTACATTTCGCCGGGTCTTCACGGGCGTAAGTTACAAAGCAGCGATGGCAAATGTATGATGACCAGGGTGTTTGTTAGAGATGATCCCAACCCCAGAACCCAAAGCAAGGGGCATCATGTGATTGGAGTGGCGTATAAGATTCTTCGGAGGCCATCTTGTTAGCTAATTTATCACACTAGAGAAAGCTCGAGTCTTGATGACAATGCGATCGAATAAAAATATCTCCATTGATGCGGTATTGTGGCGATCATGCTCATTTTATCTCGAGTCACAACCCCTACAGGATCCCAGCCTTGGTTTCTTGACTAACTCGTGACCTAAAACCCTTTTTGAAGATCTCCCACACCCCATTGAAAGGGTCATCTTGAGAGCTCTTGTATTTTTTTTTGTGATCATGCGCCGACCTTTTCTTTGTTTTGCCTTTTCCTAACCTACTAACATATCAACCATATGGACTTGTGGTGAATATCTAGGCCCCGCTATATTGTGAGACTTCAAGTTTCCGTCCGGACAAATAGACACCAAATGTTTTCTGGATATATTACTTGTGATAAGGGCATCCATTTGACACTATATAAGAGCAAAAGTAGTCATAGAACAGTGTACTAATTAACAATATTCTAGGCTTTCGTAAACGATGTCATTGAACATTGTGATGCCCTGTTTTCTATCCTTTGTTAACCATTGTTGACCTTCGAGTCCTGCGCATCATTATGTTCCTTATTCTGTCAACTCGTTACGAAGTTTAATGCGACTTCCAAACTGTGAAAGGGGTGGAAGATGGCCTAAGTAAACTTGCGGAGGGGTATTATTACCGTGTGAACACTGTGTATGTAACATCATATGGGTGAATTCCAAGTCCAGTTCTTCATTCTGACATGTCAATATCCGACATATCCAACTAATAGCGTAGGGTTCCGCTTATATATGAGCCTAAATGGTCTGTATGATCGACCTCGATTACATTTCTCGCATTGGTTCTGTTTTTGGTACTACCCATTTGACCCCTTTAACCCAAGTCCGCCTCGCTCCAGTATAGATAGTGATACTCCCGACTGGTTTGATGGGACAAACCACACATATAGGAACTAGAAGTAAAACATCACAAACTCCGTTAGTAAGTTCAGATAGGGATTTCAGCACATGGGTGGCGGAATACCTCGCATACTAATTCTATATCGAGGAACGGCCAGTGCCCCCAGCTTCGGTAGTAAGCAACGAGGTAATAAACGGAAGATTTACCTCTATTTTGCTGAACCGACGAGTGATTCGATATCTTTTTGTGAATAAAGCTGAGCCCAAGATGAAGACTGGACGAACCTCACAAGTTTCGAGCTAGAAGCAATGTTGGATGCCAAGATTGCATGCACGCTAAGCTAGCTCCCGGGCGCCACCTTGTAGGGATGTGTCAAGACGTCACAATCGCGAATCTCGAAATCTTTGCGCCACTTTAGCTACTCGGAACCACTCTTGGCGCCTTCGAAGTCCATCCACCTAGGCAGTTGGAATTGAAGTAACCAATACTTCATGTCCGATCATGTTCAGATCTCAATGGGTGTGCCGGCGATGCGCAAATGCCCTGGCACAGCCTCTGCGGCCCCAATTCCTCCGACAAGTTAGCACCGGTAAGCAAACTCTCTGCTCCAAACATCACCAACTAGCAACGAACCAACCAACATGGAAGCAACCAACTAACAGCGCCCCCGTACCGCAAACAGACGCCCATTCCGCCCTCCCACCCGTTCTCCTCCAACGCGCCCGCAGCATAGCAGAGGAGCACAGCGCCCTCTCCGCCTCGTTAGCCACCTCCTTCGACCCCAAAGCCGCCAAACGCCTAGGCGAGCTCTCCCGCGTCGCAACCGCCCTCCACGCCTTCGAATCTGCGCAATCCTCCCTCACCGAACTTAAATCCCTCCTCTCCTCCCCCGATGCCGAGCTCCGCCAACTCGCCTCGGACGAGCTGGCCTCCACCCAGGACCAACTCACGTCCCTCTCGACCGCGCTCTCCGCCTCCCTAACTCCCCGCGACCCCTTCGCCCACATGCCCTGCCTCGTCGAAGTGCGGCCTGGCCCCGGAGGACTGGAGGGTCGCTACTTCGCGGATACGATATACAAGATGTATAGACAGTACTGTGCGCGCGTGGGGCTGCGCTCTAATACCGTAAAGTACGAGACCGTAGACGCGGGCGATTCCGGCGGCGCGGCCAACGAGTCGCCCTTAGCGGAAGCGGTTTTCGAAGTCACCGAGCCAGGGGCGTACGACCTGTTCCGCAGCGAGGCGGGCATGCACCGCGTTCAACGCATCCCGTCTACGGAGAGAAGTGGACGTACACACACCAGCGCCGTGGCAGTATGGGTGCTCCCTTCATTTCCCGAGAACGCGACGGCGGAGCAGGAGGCCGATTTCAATGATCCTACTTCGGACTTCTACATCGACCCCAAGGAAGTGCGGTCGGAGAAGATGCGCGCTGGTGGTGCGGGAGGACAACACGTGAACAAGACTGAGTCGGCGATCCGCCTCACGCATATACCGACCGGGACTGTCGTTTCAATGCAGGACTCGCGGTCTCAGCACCGCAATCGGGAGGACGCGTGGAAGCTTCTCAGGTCGCGCGTGGCGATGCAGCGGCGCGAGGAAAAAGAAGAGCAGGCTTGGGCGTTGAGGAATAGTGTGCTCAGTCGGGAGAGGATCACGAGGGGGGATAAGATACGCACGTATAATTATCAGCAGGATCGGTGTACAGACCATCGGAGCGGGTGCGATGTGCATAATCTGCCAAATGTGCTTGAGGGGGGGGAGACGCTCGATCGGTTGATGCAGAGTGCGAAAGAGTGGTTGGTTGGAAGGGATGTGAAGGCGCTCATTGAGGAGGAGGAGGTGGCTGCTGCGGAGAGGGAGAGGGAGGTGAATGGTGGGGGTGGGGGTGGGGGTGGGAAGAAGGGGAAGAAGTAGAGCTGTGTTATATGCAAGGCAGAAACCTGGGCTTCTGAGTTATGGAGGAGACATCTCTGCTGATGTATCATGTATCAATGACGATGTATTATGAAACTCATAGACGATATTATCCAGTTCGTGTGGAATAGACCATGATTGAGACGCCCGGCTGTGAAGCAACTGACGACATCTGTTGCCATGCTTCATGTAGGAACGCAACACTCTATGATGCTCATGATTCATAATGAAGATATCACGCTGGAGGGGTATAGACCCTGCCTCAAGCCGGGTCGACATGAGTGCGTAGATGATAAAAACGAGAAAAGAGGTAGGCAGGCTGTAGTGGATGGACATGGTTGACTAGTACTTGACTTTGACACGGCCTGCAATCAACAGAGACCCGGGGGTCATACCCTCGAGCCAGGTTTAAAGTGACGCCACAATGATAATCATGGGAAGACATTACCATTTATTCATTACATGAGTGTTAAATAATATGCATACACTTATTAGATCTCTTTAAAGCTTAGCAAGCTCACAGCCCAAAGTTGGCCATACCAACCATGCCCCCAACCCAGCAACGGCCCAAGCGCTGGCACCTAAGCGTTAGGCACCACTCGACGTCGTAGTATTAATGCCCCGTAGAAGACCATGTCCACGGCCCGGTTCCATTGCCCAACGAATCGGCCGATGGTTGTGGGGTGTCCTTATCGGTGGTGAAAGCCTGCGTGGAGCTCAGCCCTTCCACCCGTCCCAGCAAGAATTCCAGCTGTCTGAACGCGGCGGAGGGGGCGTATTGCGGGATCATGTGCCCAGCGATGTTAACGGTGACATACGTCAATCCGCGCTCGGTATGAGCGATACCCATTACGCCCGCGCCGGCCAGGGTAGACAACGCCAGCATGTCGTCCGACTCGCCAATAGCATCGCCGGTCGACAGCTCGTGGTAGGGCACGTAAAATGGCTCGATGGGGACGGATTCGAAGCCGAGCTTGCCGCCCCACGTCATATTTTGGATGGAGAGGAGGGAGCCGTTGGCCAGGAGGATCATGTCGAGGATGCCGTGGCCGATGATGACGTTCTGCGTGGCTTCGATGACGTGCGGCAGGACCTTATAGCCGCTCGGGTCGGATTTGTCGTGGTTATTGATGAATACGTCGTTGGATGCGCACTCCTCCCATGTTATGTTAGGGGCGTGGATGGCCTGCTTAACGTCCTCGCGATCAAAATAGACATTGGCGCCTTCGGGGATGTAGTACAACGACCCGGGGAACCCGAGGACGTCCCACAGCAAGGGGCAAGTTGTTGCGACTTGGTATACGTCGAAGCAAGGGTTGAGGGAAAAGACCTCGCTATAGACCGAGTACCAAAGGTTGGCACACTCGTCGCTGACGTTGACGCCAGGCTGCGGACCAGGGGGTGGGTACTGGAGGTAAGTCGCGCTGTACTCGGCGAAGCCACAGGATTCGTGCTTCTCTTGGAGGTAAGCGCTGAAGGAGTCGTTGAACGGCATGAGATTCTTGTTGTAGTCCACGAAGGGGACGACGCTGTACGATGTCTGCAGCGTGTCGTCCATGAGGACAGGATCGTAGATCATCATGCCGCTGACGTTGTAGTACGTCGCATCATCGGCGTCCAGCATGGCCGAGGCAATGTACGGGCAGTACTTGCCGGCGTAGGACTCGCCTGCGATGTAGACCTTGTAGCCTTGCATTGAGAAGGTATCGACAAAGTTCTTCCAGAAGCCCATGAACTGCTCGGCGACGTCTTCTTCGCTGGTGGCAGTGACTGTTCCCTGGGAGAAACCGGTGCCTACCGGCTGCTCTACATACACGATGTTCGTTAGGCGATGCCAGCTCCAGGGGTTGGGAACTGGCTTGTATGTGCCGTACTGCCAGATGAATGGGCCGTTTTCTTGGATAAGTCCCTCAAAGGAAGAGCACCCCGGCTGAAGAAAAGATGAGTGTTGACTCAAAATGCGGGTGGGAGGGAACTTACACCGCCGTTAAGCCAAAGCAAGATCTCCTTGTCGGCCGCATCGTTGGGCGACGGGAAGAACCAAAAGAACAGCTTCTGGTCGCCATCTGGGTCATCGGTGATGGAGAGGAGTCCGGAGTACGACTCTCCGATATCAAAGTCCACGTCCGGGATGCCAGTTCCATTCACAGCAAAGTCTGCACACGCGTATGAGTGGATTGAGCAGGGGCCAAAACGGCGGAGTACATACATACCAGTGGTATTGGCGTTGGCAAATTTGGAGTCTGCCGTTTCCCTCGTCTCAAGGAAGTGTGTGAGGTAGTCGCCTGCATTGGGGGAAGAAACCGGTGGCTTTCTCCCTACATGCTGCCAGCTTCGTGCCTCTGTCACAGCTGCCACAGTGACCAGGCTGGCGACGACCGTGGACCAATGCATGTTGCAAGAGTTGGATCCCTCTCAATTGGTCCCTGAATATCAAATGAAGATATCAGATGGTTCACCTTCCTCGAGCTCACGGAAAGCTGTTCCAAGAGATCTTTCAAGACAGAAAATGAGCTTCCCAGAGCAGGAAGCCCATGACATTAAATAGTGACACGACGGTGGCACTACCGATAAGCAGCGGCATGTTGGACTGCAGTAGGTGAGCCGGACGGACATCCCGGCTATCTGGGGACAAACCAGCTGCAGGGCGGCAGGTCGTATCAGCGTGCCCCATATCGGTATTGATCTGCAGCATTACTAGCGGGTCGATGCCGCAATGCACATGGAAACAGGCGCATTGCGCTGATTGACACCATAGCTGGCCCCGGGGGAACTACCTGGCTGGGAATAACGGGCGCACCGCGACCTACCTATCTAGGCAGCTGCTTCCACCAAGGGTCTTTGTGATAGGACAATTTGGTCTTGATTGCAGTGGATTACTGGTCGAGTCAAGAAGCCGCTAGTGGGTGGGGAGCGGGGTTGAGGCTCGAATCGGGCGTTCTGCGGCCGTCAAGCATTATTAGCACTGATCTCGTTCTCAAGCGCCGAGGAATCATGATTAAGCTTCCACAGGCCTGGTTGGTGATGTCTTCTGAACCATTGCCATGGAGAAGTTGCTTGACCACTGCCCGTCTACTGCCCGTCTTGTGAGCTGCTCTCCCAACCTTCGGGCCGCGGAAGCATAGCATCCAAAGCAACTCTTTCGGATTGCAAGTAAAGTCGGTGGCTGAGAATTAGCCTCGCCGTATAGTAAAGATGCGCACACTTCAAATAGACGTGGCGGGCACGAGCGTGCCATCTTCATAACGCCCGCATGGAACCTGTGGCTCCGACGCGTTGGCTCGTCCCCGCATTTCTTGGCTCGCCCTGTCTCGTCTTGACCTACACACAAGCTTGAGCAGGCTGGGCAGGCATGCACCCCATTCCGAGACACCTAACGGTAGCGTAGGTATGCTTCTATCGTAGCATTGCAGAAGATCTACCTGATGTAGCCGCCGACACATGTGTTCTCGAAGTCGGAACGAAGATAACTGCATCGCAGCCCTCGTCGAAAATGGAAATCCTTTCGTGACCGGGTCGGCGCACCTGCCAAGTCGGGACTGGCCGGCGGTGATCTAGTGCAACTTCGTGTCCTGTGTTTGAAACAAAAAAGGAAAGGATGGTTTGAACCTCGTTTGCTTGCGTTAGTTACCTCCGGTGAATTAATGCCGACCAATCTGGCTTGAGGTGTTGAGAAGTCGAAGACAGGCCTGGTTTGCTCCCGACGTGGAGCACATTCTCCAGGGCTGTTTCAGCTCTGCTCGGAGTGGAACTACTACCGCGCATTGAATCGTATAGCCAGAACTCCCTAATTAAGAGCTATATCCTGTACTGAGAAGTAAGTTGCACTGCTATTGAGGCCACAGCTGTTTGCTACTGCGACCTTCAATAAGTCTGGGTACGGCCTATATTTCCACTACTAGGACACAACTATTCCTAAAACATATACTCAATTAACCAAAGATTCCTACCGCGTATCACGGTGTGCTGATATACTTAGGATTAGACGGTTTATTAATTTATATAGTGATCTGTGTAGTTTTCTTGAAAGACTACTCTCTTGTATAGTAAAGAGGTGAATATTATTGATTATTTTTAGAATAGTTAACAAAGCATAGGATTGAATGTATCTATACTCACGTCTTAAGATTTTACTGTGGCTATAACGCCCTTATAAACTGCAAAATGCTGTGCTGCAGGTAGAAATTAATATGAAGATTAGGGGACACAGCAGCCGAGTATCCAAGTCGACGTCATATCGTCACGGTACCCCGCTCTACCTATTTATGCCGGGGCTCTCACGCGTCCCCCACTATGGATAATCCCGAGGGCCTACCATAGCCTGAGCACCGTCATTTTCATAGGACAAACTTAAGGAAGGTGCTCAAAGAGCTTGAAAGATACGTATGGCACTAATGTAGAGACCAAGCGGATATTGTTTACTATAAGGGAAGCTGTGACGACTGACACATGGACGATAAGCAGGGACATCCTGACATGGCCTGCCCTGATCTGGACGAGCGCGTTCCCCTTATAATAGGAGAACGGCCAGACATACTTGTAACCCTTTCCTTCTCTTTCTTCCCTAGTTTAGTATTCAACAATAGAGATGCACTGATATGCAACCTTGATTCGTACCTATGTGCCTCTGCCTCGTTACAGAAGCTATAGCGCTCTAGCGCAGACTCTATTAACTTTCTATCAACTTAGATAAGGGGCTTACTATGTATGTTAATAGCAAATAAACGAGCAGTCTAATCATTAAGGATACTACGAAGCTATAGATATAGCTACGTCACATATAGATCTATAACCACTAGCTCCTTACCGCGCTTACCTTGTATTTAACTAGAGGCGCCGTAACAATCCTGGGTACTAGTGTATTTCCTTAATGACAGCTAGATTAGCCCAATAACAGACGCCATATTGAGAGACGTCTCATTTAGTTGGGATCCTCCTACGGTTTCCAACCACTGAAAAAACCAGCGATTAGATACGTAATAATATATAAGGTCCTACCTATATAAAGGATGACTCGGGGGGTTCGCGGGTTTGACCCCGGCACTGGGTATTATTTATGCATATTCGTACGACTTTTGCTCTTATTTCTACTTGTGGGCAATCGCAGCCCACCGTTCATTGTTGTTGTTCTTATGACTATCGTTACTTGCCGTAAGCTCTGGCTAATCTACAGTGGCCACACTGGGTGGTCCGTGCGGGGCCGAACACTGCCATTTCTGCCCACACTACTTATTAATATTTCATGTATAGTTAACTTATAGGGAAATGGAGAAATAGTTACCGAGAGTGCAGGCATATTACGCTTCATGTCACAAAAGTTATAAGTAGGACGGACTAGAAGATTGAGATCGAGTCACCCTGTATAGGCGGGCGGAATCATGACGGTCCGATGGCGTTTCAGGAAAACCTTCTAGGCCCCTCAAATAGTGCTCAAGGCACCATGTAAACTTGGAGATGTAAGTTTCCCTCTTTGTATCTAATTACTACTGGCGTTAGGAATTAATGATTGTGCCTGGCCTCCCCCAAATCAGTACCTGCTGTTACACTTCCTTTCTGCATAGAAGCCCGAATTAGGAGTTCCCTAAGGAGGTGTGTCGGACCGCACCAGCTTTCAAACCCTAACGGCTGTTTTTCCACTTCCGGCTACAACAGCCGGTGGACAGGATGGTGGACCCTGTATCCCGAATCCTGTGGTATATCAGATATATTAACTCATATAGCTTCTAATCAGGCCGTTTGCTAATTATCTATTCACCTTCAACGTCGAGACTACCATAAGATAGGTGCTAAGTAACTTAGTCGACGGGGTCATGACCACAGGTACAGATATGTTGGACCTTCAAGGCCATTGCACCGAATTGCCAGGTTGTGAGGTCATATGGTCATCTACCGTACGTTATGGGCCTATATGACCGCCATCCATCGTACCACATCACTTTTGTCTATGGGGCAGGCATCGTTCATTTCTACCTATACAACACCCTTATGGCCACAGTACACTTTTGGAAGAAGAGGATCTACAGAGATCAACAAACATTCAATGCAATCCAATTTTCACAATTAGGCCAATAAGATGCCGAAATCAGACAGCGGAAAGATGAACCTCTGGACGGCCACCGAAACCTCCTCTAGTGACCGTAACCCGTGCCTCAACGAGCAACGCATTCTGTCTAGGTGAAGTCAACACAAGAACTTCTTTCTAGTCTGCTTTGTATTCTTATCAACATCGCTGCTTTCAAGGCACTGTAACACAATCCTACGATGACCCAGAGCCGAACCGAAGTCCGCGCAATTGATAATAGCGGAAAATCGCGCGCCGGAGTCACACCATCCAATTTGCCATGCGACTACATCAGTATCATTGCCTGGCCTTATTTTGTGGCCGCCGATCACGAAACAAAATGCAGGGGCCTGCAGATGAACACGATGCACCGTACAAGCAATGGATATGAAGGGTCTCCAAGGCGCCCAATGTTGGCGTGTCTAACAAAATACGGTGACTGGAACATGCCGTCGTCAAATATGACATCCACTTTCATGAGCCCGATGCTTGGTCATGGTTATCATCGGCATGTCCTGAGGAGGACTCGCCGAGACAGTGCATGCAAGCATATGGGGGCAACTCTGACCACGGGGGATCACCATCATCAAAAGTCCTTGACCATTGGCTTTTGTAGCCTAGTTAAGCCAAGTGGTGTGTTTTCATAAAGGGACTGAGCTATTCCAGAAGATGCTCGAGAACCGGGTTTCATGCCTCAACTATGCATTTGAAGACGAGAGTTTGAGGACGTAAGAGCTCTGGTATAGGTAGTTATGCTTATAGTCCGAATCTTCAAGACAACTCGATGCCGGCTTCCCCATATTTCTGGGAATAGTTCGGGTCACCTGGGGACGGAAGGCGCGACTCCGAACACTCGGCTCCGGCTTCGGAAAGAGCACCTCGGAGCCTGATTCGGAGTGCGTGCTTAATCCAACCCCTCACCATTTATTAGTCAACACCACGGTGAACGAATACAGGCATTTCAATCTTCAAGGTCTGGAACTTATTTTTCACAAAACATTTCAAAAAATAAAGTACCACTGAACCTCCGAGGATATATCTAACACCATCGCAATCAATAAATACCAACCCAAGACACTTAGCTACTCTAAGTAGAGCCACCAATCACCCAATATGTACGCCCCCAAAGTCGGCGACAGGCTAGACACCCTCGACACGCCCTCCATGGTTGTCGACCTCGACCTCATGGAGTCCAACATACAGAAGCTCATGGACCGCCTGCTGCCAACGGGCGTCAACATCCGCCCTCATCTCAAGACCACCAAAAGCGCTATCTTAGCCAAGAAGCTCGCCGCAGCGGGTGCGAAAGGAGGCTGTGTTGCCAAACTCAGCGAGGCCGAAGTCATCTGCGCCGCGGGCTTCGACGACTTGCTAATCACGTGTGAGATAATTGGCCCCGTCAAGGTTCAACGACTAGTCGAGCTGTACCGCAAATTTCGTACCATCCGCATCGTGATCGACAGTGAACATGGTGCCACCACCATCAACTCTGCACTGGCCGCCTCGGGGATTGAAGAGCCCATCGCCGTACTGATCGACCTCGACGTTGGACTGCACCGCACCGGTGTTGCTGCAGGCGAACCAGCCCTCGCCTTGGCACGGCACATCGGAGAGCTGAGGCACCTGAAGCTCATCGGCGTGCAGGGCTACGAAGGCCATCTGCAGCACTTGCACGACAAGGCCGACAGGGAGAAGCAATGTCTTGCATCGATGAAGACGTTGACAGATACAGCAGCCTCACTGCGCGACGCAGGGTTTGACATCCAAGTCGTAACAACGGGCGGCACCGGCACAGCCGAGTTCTGTGTCACGGTACCAGGTGTCACTGAGGTCCAACCAGGATCCTTCATCTTTATGGACACGGACTACCGCAACGCCGTCGGCAGCTTCTACTCGAATAGTCTGACCATCCTATCGACGGTGCTCAGCAAGCAAGGGCCCAAGATTGTGACAATCGACAGTGGGCTTAAATCATTGACGACGGATAGTGGACTAGCTGAATGCAAGGATGCGCGGTATACGTATGGGGTTCTAGGGGATGAGCATGGGTCGCTGAGCTGGGAGCATGACGAGCCCGCGCTGCAGGTTGGGGATAGGGTCGAGATGGTACCGAGTCATATTGATCCGACGATTAATTTGCATGATGTGTATTATGCGCATCGAAAGGGGGTCATTGAGGAGATTTGGCCGGTGGATTCTAGGGGTAAGGTTCAGTAGGTAAAAGATTCTGTTCACTATTAGCTGCCAGGGAGACCCACGAGGAAAACACAGCTTATGGACGAACACTCCTGCCCCCTATTCAATCATGGAATCTTCACTTCCGGTCGCTGGAATAGTGGTTGGAAAAATATCCAACATTATTACTTGTTACGGACACAATCTGAACGGTAAGAGCACAGACATACTGTCTGTAAGAAAGTCTGCAAACATCTTTCCAGTGTCACTCAGTCTTATATTCACTGTTTTCTAACACGATAAGCTCAATGACAGCCATCCCAATCAAAGAGATCTTATCAGCGTCCTGAGTGCACCGTAGTGCTCGTTGGTAAAATATCTTTCCTCCAGCCAGCTGAAAATCGAACCAAATATCAATGTTTCATTACACCACTGTGCAGAAATTTCAAGCTATTCCTTCCGTCTAACTTGAAGACTTCCAGCCCCTGGCCAACCATCATGACTGCGTAATTCTCTAACATGCGGTCCACTCCCGCCTCTCCTTCTGCTCCTCCCAGTTCCTCATCATTTTCAATACGCCGGCTCAAGGGCATTACATTGTCATCCCCCTCTCCCTGTTTACCGCATTTGAATTTTTCCTTTGGTCATCCCTTTACACACATATACCATATATCGACTTCCATTCTTTCCGCACAAGGAAATTCTGCCTCCCGTTTCTCGGCCTCAACCCGCCGCACAGCTCAAACAAATCCAGCTCGTTGATGGTGTTGAGGAGCGGAACGACACTCCACTCCCGGAGACCAGTCTGAGAAATTCGTCAGAAGCGCAGCTATCACTAGTGTGTGGAGGAAACAAGTCCTGGCCACGAATACTGTCTCAGGAGAAGGCAGTTTGACCAGGTTAATAGGCAAAATAACGAGCACGGCACATTGGAAAGTCTGCAGCTGAAGGTACACCCAGGGACCGCTGGGGAACGCCCCAATGGGTGTAGGGATGAGGAAGGTTTGTTTGCCATTGGAGACTTTTTGTCATCCACGATACGTGATATAATGAGTACATGATCAGGAGAAGGTGTGACGTTGTTACATGAGTGGAGAGTTCAACGATGGGCACTCCACTCCACCCTCTCAACAAACTTTCAACTTGCCGGTTTCTTCCATCCGTTTCCCAGGATTCTGGTTTTCCTCCGGTGCATCGAAGACGCTTGCCGGCTTCCCCAACGCCTTGCTGGTATAATAACATAACAATATAACAATGATGATACAACAATTGTTGCTGCCGTCGCAATGACGCCCAACTCGTAGAAGTCTCGGGCGCTTTCAATGTCACGCCCGCCCAAGTGAGTGACGAAATCCAATAAAACAATACCATGGGATGCCATGGAATGCAGGGAATGGTGGTGTGTCAATCCAGTGTCATATGCAGGGGTGCATTACCCACTCTGCTCGAAGACGTTGCCTTCCCGCCGCCTCAGTTCCCTTAAAACGGCAACGACACCATTGCTGCGTAATCTCTCCAGTACCATGCCCATGCCGTCCCGAGATTTGACCATTTGGTCATCAGTCTTGTTGGAAGCGATTGACTCGATGCTGCTCTGAATGCGCTTGGCGCCCCAGCCTGATATCCAGCCACCGAAGCGGCTCCGGTTGGGATCGTCCGAGGTGGCCACAGCCTTGTCAACCTTGCGATTGCCAAGGCTGGAGCGGTAGCTGAATGTGGTGCTGACGTAGGTATTGGACGATGTAGCGGGTGAGAGGCTTGGTTTCGTGTCTGGGCTCTGGTCAGGCGGCGTAACCGAGTAGTGCTGCTGTTCGGTGACGCTCAGCACTCCGGTGAAGTTCAGATTGCGACTTTCCGTCTTCATCCAGCCCTCTCGGATATCGACGGTGCTCGTCTCGACGACGTAGGTTGACTTGTCTCCCGCTCCACCGGTCACGCTCGTCGGCAGCAGCTTTATGACAGCGGACGGCATTCGCGACTTCTTGAGGTGGATGCGGGTGGTGTGGAGTCGACCTGTGGCCGGGTCGACGTGCGACGAGATGGTGTCGGTGGAGAGGACATGGCTGGAGAAGGGGTTGAGCTGTGGAGAATAGTATCGAAGGAAGAAGGCGAGGGTGACGGTCGGGAACGGATGAGCGTAGCTGTGGTTGGTAGTGTGAGTGAGGACCATGGTGACGTTATGGCAGTTGCAGTGGCGGAGTGGCGGGTTGAATGTAGCTTGATGTTCGATGCTGTCGCAAAGAAATGTTCGGTTTGATAGAGATCAAGACATCACAGTTGATGCAGTCAGGTCGAAGAGGGGGGAAAGAGCGTATCACCACTCACACGCACGACGTCGTGTCAAGTCGTGCGTCGTGTCAATGCTATAGCGGTTGGATGATATCGGGCGACTCCTCAGGTAGACAACATACGAGTGCGAGTTGAAAGTGTGGCTGTCATTCCTTGTCGCCCGACCTGGAACGCAATTTTGCCATTTAATCCGTGGTCTCCGATTGGCTGAAAGCGCTGGGCTCGATCCGAGGCAAGCTGATTGGTTGATAATACCATCCGAATGCGGGGAAGCTCGAAGCTTGGCACGGTGGCAACTTCCCCAGGTAATTCGAGCACCCTGATGCAATACGTCGTATGTGGAATGGCAGTTAACCCTCAAGGCGTGACTACAAAGTTTGACGTCAGCTCACTGCAAGGCATCGAATTTATAGTACGATGAGAGCTTCCGGTTGCGATGAAAGTCCCAAGTTCACACATCGCCTCCAGCCGGTACAAGTGCAACTCGTGAACGCCCCGCCTACCACCAACGTCAATTGATGCCACCAGGGAACTGACTCGGTCTCAGGTTGACAACAGGAGACTGCACAGTAGTATTGTTGTCTTCTCGGCCCAGTACAGCAAGCTCGGAATAATCAACGACTCGGCATCTACAGTTGCGTACCTGTGTTGACCTAGGTACAGACAGCTCAAGCAACACTCTCTCAAATCTCTCCCATTATGGCAGGTATGCCATCAAGCCAGCCAGCCACTTCGTCCGATATAGAGTTGACTGCTCTTCCATTCTCATGGTCTAATATGTCAATCAAAGCCACTCTGTATATCCTGAGGCCAACCAGAAAGCTCTGCATCCTGACATAGTTGACGTCACACATTCGGATAAGATGGTCGGACGCTTCTTATTAAGCATGCGGCCTGTTACTAAGTAGGCTCTTGTGGCTACTGTCACTCTTTTGACTTGGGAGAAACAGACTTATTCAGCGCAATGTTTCAAGTAGCTTGCAATAACTCTGATAAATACAAAGCAGGCAAGCGCAGATTGTCTTATTTAGGTATCCCCGGGTCCAATTCTGGATTGACCTCATGCGCACCTTGATAGTACCAATACAGCCCCCAATACTCTGGATCCGACACATTATAGTATATCAGCGCTGTGGCAATGAGCGCCACAGTTATACCCTAGGCCGAAAGCGGTATGGTTGCTAGTGTAGATAGTGGGTCAGGAACTTCTCAGCGAGAGCACTTAACAGAGCCTTTCAACACCAACCTACCTAGCACAATGCGTAGAGCAGGCATAGCGGTCAATAAGACCTCCACCCAGAATCCGACTGCCTCAAGCGCAGATTGATATGGGGAATCATGTCCCGTAGAACTTACCTCCCTGGTCCAGTAAATATAGTTATGTTAGATGTTGCATGGTGTAATTAACCTCATAAAATGGCCCAAAGACCCGAGGTTCTTGCTCTGAGCACATAGACCATTGAGGCAGTTGCTGCACCTTCTGCATTGATGGTATATAAGTGGTGTGCAACTTGCTTGAGACGTATGGTGGAAAGCTAGCATTGGGAGCGTAGATAAATAGAGACACTACTACCTGTATCTCTTAATTGATTAGAAATCCACTGTGAGTGGAATCCAAGATAAATCTGTTTTCTTATTTGTTTTTCTTTTGATCAGTGCCTCACATCCCAGATTTGCTCGTTCACATATCCTACGCAGGATCTGGCCTAGTGGGTTGATGTGCAAAGTTTCTTCAAATTGATCGCTTCTCGAGTACAACGTAACACAGCCCGGCTTGACAGGTGCACTCGCAGTCACGACCTGGAAGATCTGAAAATTCTAGTTGTCAGAACTCTATAAAATCCATAACATTGTATACTAAGTTGTGTGGTAAAGTGTGACGGAACAAACAAATGGCATCCATCGGTTGCATCTACTTCCTCATCTATCGGCTTGGCCGCCGTGCTGGATTCCAAAGCCAAAATCCTCCTTCGACACCCACCACCCGCGATCATACTTCCAAAGACTCAAACCTGTCACCGTTCCTGAGCAGCCATGAAAATTATTCTTCACCTCGGCTAGACACGCATCCACCTCCTCCGCCTCAGTGACCTTGTTCATAATTGTATAATGACCCCTAAACTTCCCTCTATCTTGTATACTCAATGTTTCGCGCCACAGCTCCTGCAAGTCTTTGTGTATATGCGCTGCTGGCTCTAGACCGTCCACAGATATTCCCACGCCGCGAGCCATCCGGAACGGCTTGCCGGCTTTTATATGGAATAGTGTAGTTCTCGAAGCCAGAGATGAGATATCTGACTTCATCTTGGGTAGCATAGATCCAGGCAGTGCGTGGAATAGTGATACGTGTGCATTGACCTTGAGGAGTTTAGGCGGGAAGTATTTGGTCCTCAGGGCAGACATGGCGGTTTGCAACTCAGGGTCCGTTTTCAAGGTCAAGACGTAATGATCTTCATCTTCGTAGGCAGTTCGTGGTTTGTGGTCATCGCGGCGTTGATAAGTAGTCATTGAGTAGGGTTGTGTTATAATGGAAGTGACGAATATTCTTCCAGCAATGTTGAGTTGAGACCATAGAACAGTTTTTGATTTGGCGGCCTTCCTTGGTTGATGTAGAAGTCGCCGGCAATAACCTGGCATTTTGAGGTGGGTAGATGCAGGCCCTTCCCATGTATGGAACCAGCTGGGTTGAGATTTTGGATTGCTTCAAGACCGATTTCAAAGTGATGACGTCAGCGATGCTGCACTAGTTGAAGATCATAGAGTCTTGTTAACAAAGTGGCATAGCAAGACTATTTTGTTCTGACACAGGAAAAATGATGCATTCAATTGGTATTTGGTGTGTGGTGACGCTGCTTTGATTTATCTGCAGTGATCTGTGTCACTGGAACCAAGGTCTCAATCCTGTAATTTGGCTAGGTCCCCCTTTCCATTATTCAGGGCTTATTAGGCTGCCTGATTAATGCAATAGTCATGTCCAGTCCCATCCTAATCTGTAATGTCCTACGTGGTTAACCCGTGGTTGCCTTATTCTTAGCCTCACTACACAGTATCGTGTCAGTACTAATCTAAAGCGTTAGAAATTTGGAACAACTCACATTCGCTCCTCAATCTCACGGATGACTGCATTGTAAAACAGCCACTCCTCTGAGGACGCCTCAGTGGAAGTTGTGCTGGCCTTCGCCTCCTCCAGCTCTCAAGCGTAGTTCCCGAGTTCGTCTTTGCACCGACGAGTTCGCAGACCTGGTCAGCAATGGACTCAGAGCGCAAGTAATCTGGCGTCGATAGGTTAGTCATGATATTTTGGAACGGGGTACGTTATGGGATTCTACCTCTCTCAAACGAGAATAACTTGCTGTTGGTCCTGTTAACTGTTAGAAAGACTCCTGCAGGTACATAGTGAATTAAGGAAATCATACGATGTAGACATGGTGGCGACTTGTTGGTTTAGGAGGTGGTCTTGATCGTGGTGATATGTAATTGATGGAGTCAATGGTTAGTGATTCACTCTTTTCCTTGTGATTTAGCTTTTTAGGTGATAAGAGGACAAGGGAGGAAGTGTGTCGCCGGAATTTAGTAGAATAAATAGTTTCTGGAAACCAGGGTCAATATTCAATAACGTGTCCTATCCCCGTGAATAGAAAAGTGAGACCAGTTCTAAAAAAACGAGTAATCAAAATTTATTTTTCACATTGGGTCATAGTATTCACATTTGGACACAGTATTCACGAATGCAATAGTCATCAATGGAAAAGTTTTCATATCTTAAGAGGAAATTTGGCACATCAAAGTTTTGATTAATGGAGAGACTTCAATATTATTTGTAGTCGGTTCGTAGAAACAAAGGATCATTGCCCGTATACGGATGGACGCATATTTAGTCTCATAGAAGAAGCCTATGCTGAAGCTGCCCAAGTATATGTTAGGAGTTGAAATGCTAGAGGCCAGCTGTTGGATTGTGGGCAAATGGTCTTGGACTGAAGATGTCATGATCTCTGGAGGGTCCAGAGAGAAGTCAGCAGCGGCCATAAGGGCCTTACATAGACAGGAATAAACGATGCCTGTCCCACAGGCAGGACTTAAATGGTTTGATGGGTGGTGGTCATGTTGGCCCATAAATTATGGTACGTGGCCATATGTTCTTTCCAAGACTGGCAGTCTTGGTGTAGTAGCCTTGAAGGTCCAACACCAGCTCATATTATAAGACAAACTTAACTCGGTAATGTGGCAGTGGCTTGTAGTGAGGTTATTTGCATGTTCGTCCCCAAAAGCCCACGCTGCCTCAGATATCCCAAGCATGTTATGATGGATGAGATGGGAATATACCTCAGTCTACGGTTTACAACAGAGCGATGCAGCGTGCTTGGAATAACAGCAAATGTATAAAGTTCTATTCTTAGTGAGGTACCCTAGATATTGGAAGGCTTGAGTTTCTTTAATTATTACCGTGATTGCGAGTGGGAATGAGATACCAAGCTTCTCTCATTGTTTTGTTTGCCACACTGCTTTATTTCCTATATATCGTAAGCCAGAGATTGCCGCACCTGTTCACGATTAGCGTATTTAATCGAAACTCTTGCAAATAAAACCATCAATGATCCTTCCTATTAGGGTGGCACCTGATTTGGAGATCAAAGGGAATAGGTTTGTACACCACTGTAGAGGATCTTGAGAAAACCATAGACAAAGTCACGTCTTGTTTACACGGTCTTTGTGGGATCGCACTGGTACTGGCATTCCAGCTACGTATGAAGGTCAAGAAGGGAAGTGCAGGTGGAGGTTGGGGAGGGAGGGGGAAGGGGGTGTCCAAGTCGCACAAGGGCACCAAAGTGTTTCACTGACCTTAGGCCACCAATTCCACAATCTTCATGGTTTTCAGAGGTGATCCGTGCATATCCTATCCACCGCTACTACTTGGTTCCAGCCTACGAGCACTAGCCCGTGACGCGATTTCACAGCTTCATCGCCAATATCAAAACGACTGCTTTGAGCCTGGAATCGTCTATTCTGGCCAAGTAGCAGCTCAAGATTTCACCAATTTCTCGTCGGATCCGTTGATTCCTGCAAGTTTTTCCATTCTATTGGAAGGAGCGCGGATCCGAGGTTATCACTCTGAAGTAGGTCTACGAAAAACCTCCTACCTGCCTTAGGATTGAACACCACACAGTCAAGTCAAATTCAGACCGATTGACACACTAACGGATTGAAAATGTGTGTGCAATTCTGCCGTCTGTCACTGCCTTGACCTTGGACAGCAGTCCAGTATCACAGACTTCACGATCACATTATGGCGTTTGAAGGGCCTGCACGGCTGCAGCCAATCCCTCAGCTGGAGGGCGAGAGGAATCTCAGAATCTGGCAAATTCTGATAAAACAGCACACTAAGTACTTTGGCCTGGAACCTTTCCTTAATGGCACATCTACAGGCTACTACAACCCCTGAAGAGAAGCTTAAATATAAGCAAATGCAGATTCACGCTATGTCGTTTTAACTTCAAGCGTCATCAAAATTCACGAAAAGCTGGAGGACATGCTTACTGAGACAGATCCACCTACCATCTACAGTCTGCTCCTCAAAACCATCCCTAAAGAGTCCGAGCATAGTCTACCAGCAATGTTGTATAAGCTCGTCGGCCCGATGAAGATTCCCAAAGGCCAGAAGCTCGAAAATGGTCTTCTCGACTCAACTAACTCAACAACCACCTTAGAGCTCTAGAGTGTGGTACGCCTGAGAAAGCTCTCACACTGATCGCTCAAAGCACTTCAACGACGTTATCCACTAGTTCATGGCTTTCTAAGCAGATCATTTGAGGAAGGAATTCTGACGTAGAAGAAGATGAAGGAGGAGATTACTCGCAAGAACTCTACAAGATCTGGGTTCCAGTGAAGCACCGTGTTATGCGAGTGCGAGATGTTCGTTTTAACGAGACGTTAGACGACGCACAAGACAAAGACCCTTTACGCTGATGTCATCGTTGGATTTGAAGATGAGACTGCTGACATTGAGTTCTCTGAACTAGTTGCTAGCTCTTGAGGGGCATAATCAAGTTTACAGGGACCCGAACAGCCATTGTGAAATGAGGGTGTTTGTTAACTTATGCGGCAAATTCTGGGAATTGCTTAAACAGTCCCAGCTGTACCTAGTAGCCCGCATGCGTGATCAAACGGGGCTGGTTCTGAGCAGAGGATAAGCATTGAGAATAGCCAGGCTATCCTGCCATTATGTGATTACCTAACTTGCTAAGTCCTCTGCAATGAGGTTTAATTTGGTCATCTTATTTCTTAGATGTTGATACGCTCACCATCAATTTGCTCCCCGTTCAAGTGTGTCCCTCCTTCCTTCCCGGCAGATACCTCCAAACATTCTTCTTCCTCCTCTTCTCTAAAAGACTACGTGCCTCAATCTCCACCTGAAGTCTAGCTTTCTCTTCCAAGTTTCTCTGTTTATGGATGTGCTCCTTGAATGCACCACAGACTGAACGCCGTGATGGCGAAATAACTACTCAGGCACCGGACTCAGGTATCGAGGGTGGAACATCTTTGCTGTTTGGTCCGCGCTTAACCTCCAAATCACGAGGAAACAAGCTCAGGTCATTGAGTCATAGCAATATGGGATCTCTGCCCTTTTAGTACTCTTTACATAATCTACATCATGCTTGCAGTTGACTTTCTCCTGAAAGCCAATGGACAGGCATCCTTCCAAGCCGGCTCATTCCGTGGCCATCAGATTCCAATGACAGCTTCCATCTTGCAGTCCTTTCAGTTAAGCAGGGCGAAAGAAGGACTCTATCCACATTAAATCACAGGTGCCAACTCGGTCCCTCGATGCCACAGCCGTGCATTTCCTCCACAAAACTCAGAATACCGGCATATGGCATTAGTATGTAAATGGGGAAAAGCGTCGAGACCTCATGCTTGGGCCTATCTTGTGCCCTTCACTCAAACTCCGGTCGATGCAGAAACAGAATGTATACTGGATGGGGGAAGGAGGTGTCGTATGCGATAGCAACACCTCGTCCAAGTGAAAATGGCTCTTGGCGAGAAATGGAAGATCTGCTGTCTAGCAGACGAAACAAAGAAAAGTCGTATTATAGTTTGCGCGAGTGGTCGAGGTCGGTCGTGCATAAATGTTGGGAGCTTTGCTGGCTTGTAGCATGTCAAGTGTTGATAGCAGAGAGGATGGCAAATTGTACACCTTTTAGTGTGGGTATGTCCAGCCGTCTTCAGCGCTTAGCTTTCTTAAGATCGTCCGGGTCATGTCGGAAGGTGCATTGATCGCCCTTAGCGCATTTGCCCTCTGCCCAAAAGGAACAAGCTTTGGTGCCAATCAGAGCACGATTGATGCCCTTGTTGTGCTCCTTCCCACCCCGGCCGTGGAAGTTGGACTTCTCCTTGTCCTTGCGACCTCGGGAGCCCTTGTCTCGGGATTCGTACTCCGAAGGTCCGTAGTCCAGCGAAGCGTCAGCACCGCTGCCAAAGGTGGAGCTACGATTGCCACGCTCACGATCTCGATCACGATGCTGCTGGCTTTGGGAAGATGGAGGCTGGAACTGAGATTGCCCGTAGTTCTGCGTGGATTGCTGCCAGGAGCGCCAGTAAGCATTGGTCGGATCATTGTCCTGCAGAGAGGGTTGAATGGCCGGTGCCTGCTGCTGTGTGGACTGGCCGCTGAGGGCTGCCAGAACTGCTTGCAGTTGAGGATTGCTGTCCTGGGGAGCAGCAGGCGCCTGTGTTGTTTGGGAAGGTTGAGCCAGGTAACCCTGGTACCCGGGGTAGCCCTGGTAACCTTGATAGGCTTGGGTGCCCTGATTAGCTTGGGCGGCCTGCAGTGCTTGAACCTGCTGGAGGATCAATGCATATTGGCTGTAGTCGGACTGCTGAGCTTGCGCTGGGGCGGAAATCGAAGCTGAAGAAGGAGCAGGAGCTTGAGCCTGAGACTGGGCTTGAGCAAACTGAGCATACCACGCAGCGGCGGCAGCAGTAGCAGCAGCATTGGGGTCCTGAAGTGATTGGGTTGTGCTCAACGCGACAGGCAGCTGGCCTATGGTGGCACTTCGGTTGGGATTCTGCTCATGAAGCTTCTGGGCACGCTGCGTAGCTTCCTTAGACGCATTGGCAGCCATGTCCTTGTCGTAGCCATCTTGCCATTCTTTGACCTGGGTGGGGTTTTCCCTCATGTACTCAGGAGGCTCGTTAGCCGGGAAGTGCTTGCCTTTGAAGGCTTCGCAGATATTCTCAAAAGCATCAGCGTCGGCTTGAACCTTGGGATCGGCATAATCGGATCGACGAGTCGTCTTGGGATGGGCTGGATCGTAAGGGTTGGGATCCTTCCAGTTCTTGACGACATCCAAAGTCAACAGTCGGTAGACTTCAGCATCGCGTGCCTCGCAAGACTGCGGCGATTGCGACGGATAGGAAGCAGAAGGCGAATTCGAATGCGACATATTGGCGGAGAGTGAGTAAGAGCTAGCAGAGGGTTGTGCTTGATTCACGCCTGAAGCATTCCTCAGCAAACCCAACACCTTGTCCAATTCGGAAGGAGCGGTTGTGTCTGGGGTACGAAGGCGTTGGGTTACAAGCTGGAGGGAAGCGTCGCGTCCGAATTGCCTGCTTTCAAGTGCGCGGCGATGGAACTCTTGCAATTTTGGTTGGTCGGATGGGAGGTAGCCAATCTTGGGAGACGCGGATTTGGAATCGGTAGTCTTGCGGGTTGGTGACTTGGGGGTTTCTGGGATATCCGAGCCCGACGTGTAAACGGCCATGAGTTCAGTCCTCTCGTACTCCCCCATGAACGTTTGCTGGTCTGTATGAAACGTACGAGCACCCCCACGCGTCACAAAGCTTTTGTCGCGTTGTTGACGATCGATGACACTCATGTCAATAGCGGAAGGTTCCACCCAAGGATGAATTGATACTTCCTTTGTCGCGTCTCCCTGCCCATCAGCGTCACCGTCCTCCTCCTCTTCGTTTTGAATGCCCCGCTTCAGCATTTGACCTTCAGAGCGGTTATCTCTGGCGTCGCGAATCATGTTGCTGGCACGTCCCTCATCCTCGGCCGAGTCATGTTGAAAGATTCGAACTTCGGTTAATTCGTGGTCGGGCTTCCATGTCACTGTGCGTCCCCGTCGGGCCTCTTTGCGAAGTCGCTTTGCTTTTTCCTCGGGTGTCTCTGGAGCTCTGGCTGGCTCTTCACGAGCTTTCGCTACCGGTGTCGGCTTCGCAATCTCCGCCAATAGACCGCTAATCGTAGACGAGATAGATGACTGCTGAGCCTCCGGTTTTTTCGGGGTAGGCTTCGGTGTGGGTCGAGCTCGCCCGGGAAGGATAGATCCAGGTGGTCTCACACGAGGTTGAGCAATGGTCGCCGTTGTACTGGAAGGCATGGCCGAAGTCGTCTTTGCAGTTGATTGAGTACTAGAACTATCCAGTGCCATTTTCTTCGTTGCTCTAGACTCCCCATCTTCATCTCTGGGTCTCTTTGCAGAGCTCTCAACCATCGGTTTCTTCGAGACTCTCGAGTCAACATCGTTTTCCCTGGCTCTCTTCAATGGTGATGCCGTGTTGGAATCGTCATTGCTAGTGTGGCGGATCTCTGAGGAAGAAGATCCCGTTGGTTGGGCCTTGTTCTTCATTTTGGACGCCGATTGCAAGTCCCTAGCCATAATAGAGGGTGGTCTCTTGGAAATGCTAGAAACTCCTTTAGGTTCATCAGCACCACCACTTTCTTTAGCTTTTTTGGCTGCCTCATCGCGAGCCTTTCTGTCTGCCTCTTCGGCGTTGGAGAAGATGCGATCAAAGTAGTCACGACACTCCTTGTCGATGTCATCTTCATACTTCTCGCGTGTTTTCTTCAGCTTGAAAGTGTCGTTAAGTAAGCTGCTGCGCACAGTGGTGAATTGCGACATGAGATGCAGGATGGACTTGGGCAAAACTCCATCAAAGTCACCCAATTTGTAAGAGTACTTCAGGGCATTGATCAGCTGGGTAAGCATCTTGGTGTTGTCACCCAGGTACCTGACCGTCCAAGCGTCACCATAGTCAAGCGCTGTTTGGATAGCTGCATGCATACAGTTTGCCTTCACCTGAAACTCTTGCTGCAATGCCGTCTTGTCTTTGGCGACTTTAGCCTCTTCTCTGACCCTCTTGACCTCACGCCAGAGTTTATCTACTTGGTTGCCGAAGGCATCAATAGCAATTGCAGTTTTCTTGGAATTGTGAGCCTCGTCAGGATCATGCCATAGTATCTTGACAATTTCCTGCTCGACAGCACGAACAGGGTCGCTAGGTCGCTCTGCCATCTTGATCTAGAGTGAGATGTGGTTTTTAGTAGAGGGTTCTGTTAAATGCACTTATATGCAATATGATAAAGGATGGGTTTGGCAAGTGCGAGTTTATGAAAGAATCCAAGGAAGGAATTCAAGGAAGTCGCCGGGTCCACTTGAACTACAGTGAATGATAAAGCCACCAATCACCACCACTCCAGCCGCATGTAAGGCAGAATAAGCCAGTCCCAAATGGAATTGACAATCTGACATTCCTGTCGGTCTGCAATGGGACGAAAATACCAATGGTGGGCGGCAGTGATGATAACTTCGGGGAGTTGCAGGACAACGGAGAAAGATGTTGAAGACTCACCTGACGTGCCTTCCTGTCAGTCTCTTTTGTCGGGTCATCAGAGTCACTGTCGGAATTGTTGGATGCCTTGGTTTTGCGCACAGTGGACAGCTTTTTTGAATTCGCCTCTTTGGCCAATTCTTGAACTAGACGCAGTGTCAGTGAGTCATTGAAGAAACAACGCCAGAATCCAGAAGTGACTGAATCCGAGGGAGTCGGCGAGATCAAGTGTAGGGTAATCAGCATGACCGAGTTTAAGGGAAGCAATGATACCGAACTTGAGACCGACGCGACCAAGCTTAGGAAAGCGCTATGACCGAGCTCAAAGGAATCGATACCAGGAAATCCGAGGGGAACAACGCGACATAGTGCACAACCACGTACCTGCTTTACCAGTCACAACCACGAACTGCTGTTCCAACTTTTTAACCTCCTCCATCGTCGTTTGCCGGTCTTTCGCTCCTAGATTTGGGTCCTGCAACAGCTGAGTGCGACCAACATAATCTCGAACAATCTCGGCAGGTAGCGGACGGCCAAGTTTCGGTAACAGAGGCTTCGTGCTGGCATTCCAGCCGGCAAGCCAAGGCTTCTCGGCAGTCCTTCGCACTTCAGGTATATTATCATTCAGCGGTATATCCGAAAAGAAGAGATTTTTGCAGCCGTTGACCTGCTTCATCCCATCATTGATGTCTGTGCTGCCCCAAGCAGTCGCAGTGGCATCACCAGAGTTTCCCGAGGGTTGAGACGCATAGTGAGCTAGCGATGGCTGTACAGCACCGGCATGTGTAATCGGAGGTTGGGAGTTGGCGTGATGTGGTGCAACAGGGGGGGGAGCGGAAGATAATGCGTTTGACATTGCTGCTGGACTATCCGTCCTTGCTGTGGCCACCGACGTTGTTGGTTTCGTCCGCTTGACTTGAGGTGCGGGCGGCTGTGGACCTGGGTAGGGAGACCCAGTTGGGGTTGTCACCGGTCCAGGCATCCGAAAGGACTGTCCACGAGTTGGGTTTTGATTTTGGAGGCCGACGGGGGACTGTGGCTGTGATTGTGCGAATTGGGCAGCCATAAACTGGCCTTGATGTCCCTGGAAGGCATACTGTGGCTCTCCAATCTGAGAAGGCTGAGAGTTCAAGTGAACTTGCTGGAAGCTGGGCTTGCTTCCATTCTCGACCCCGAAGTGAGCCCCGGTTCTCTGACCAGGAGGTGGCGTGGCGATGGGGACATGAGATGGTGCCTGGAATTGCTGCTGATGGTACTGTTGCTGGGCACTCTGGTGATCATAGGGCATCTGCGGCTGGCCGAAGTTGGTCTGATGGTGGCTTGCCTGGTTATGCCACGATTCGCCAATGCTTCCGGGGACATTTGGATACTCTTGGCTATGTCCAGTCGTGGTATACTCAGAAATCGGATGTTCATGGCCAGAGAAGCTGTTTGGCATAAATCCAACACTTCTTTCCTGTCCCATCTCAGCATTGGAGTGATCGTTTTCAGCAAAGTTGCCGGTTGGATAGCCATGGCTGTTGTCCTGTCCAAAGGCGGATATTGACAAGCCCGGCAAATACCCTCCGTATGCGTTGTTTGATTGCGTGGGCGCAAAGTGCTGAAAGTCAAAGTTTGAAGTATCGTATGCGGCTACATCATCGGCATGATTGACGATATTTGGATCGTAGTGCCCAGAAGGCCAACTGTGGCCTCCTTGGGCCATCGTGCTACAAGGCCACGGCAAAAAGGGGGTGAGAGCACGTGATCTGATCTACATGTCAGTGAAGTTGGGGTGGGGGCGTGTGCTTATCCATTTGCGCATCTGGAGAGTGGGGCCCTGTGGGGTGCCAAGAGGAATGCTCGATGGGCAGATTGCCATCAAAATATAGAACCACTTACCAAAATGGCTTGTTGGCAGAGTGATAGTCGAATCTGTTGCTTCTGGCCTGTGAATCAGGCAAAGAGTACTCAAAGAACCGACTGCAAACTGCCTCTCGAAGTTGAATGTGGGTGGTGGACGTGAAGGAAGGGCGTGTGCGAAAGAAATGTTGAGGGGTGTGGCGTCGAAAAGCAAAAGTCGACGGGGATGGACAAAAGAGTGGCAGGCCGAATTGGGATTAGGCCGGAGATCTAAACCGAAGAAAGGTCAATCAGCTGCGAGGAACATGAGAACACGAAATGGTGCAGTAGGTGAGTAGGCTGGGGGGCAGTGGTTTGGAGAGAGCTGATGCGCGGCGACATGCTACCAAGTCCTTGAAAGGCACCTAGGCACCAAGCCTGTGGCTTTTGCGCAGGGTAGCGAGAGTCTTTCAAAACACAGACTTGGTGTTTCTTGGTCTGGGCTAGACACCGTCGGCTATACTGTCGGCATTGAGATTCTGGTACTGGCTGTCTCAAGTCCTTAGAGTTGACGTGCTGCTGGAGGGAATCCGAGACGATGCGAGTGAACCAATTCGGCTTTGGTTGCCTCCAGACGGACCCGTCCCAATGCGCATCAGTTCTCGTGAGTCTTAAATGACAACAGATAGCAATGTTTGGTGCAGCCAAGGCTGTACGCAAGCGCCAAGTAGCAGCGCTGTCAATCAGTCCATTCAGTCTGGCCGAGTCGGAATCTGAACACTGCCATCTGCAAGTGCTTTTGCTGATGCGCTGGGATTTCTGCTTCTGGACACTTTTGAACAATTAAGTTGACGGACAGGGCCATCAACACCAATACCGTGCACGAGATTGATGTCGGTCGAGTCTTCCAATTCAAGTTGATTCTCTTTGCCTGAATCTTTTGCCCTGTTTTCACTCTCCCTCCATTGCGGTGGGAATTTAGGAGCTACTTTGCAGGCTCTGACAGTTGAAGTCTTGCGCTGAAGGCCCAACTCGGAACACATTCTGCAGGTCCAATGTGTGCGTCTGGGCGGGCATCTTTCTGTCTGGTCCACCCCCTGCCATCTTGCAATTCACTGCTGCAAGAGGCGGAGCTGGGATGAATCATGACAGGCAGAGCTGCAAAAATGCTCGCATTTCAGGTGTTGAGGGATTGGGGTGCGTTGCGGTGTTTGGGTTTCGCAAAAAAAGGGAAGGGAATTGATGTTATTTTCATACCCTTCAATCATCCAATTTCCAAAGTTCTTCCTGCCCACTGCTGCTGCTGTTGAATCTTCTTCCTACTCAGAAGATATTGGGGCATCGCCAAGCTCTCTTTAGTTGAGAGGTGCGCACAATTACGACATGTTTAGGTTGTGTGGTCTGTCTATCTCAATGATTGTAATTGAGGATTTGAGAATCGTCCTGTCCGAGAACCTGCGAGAGATTGAGAGATTGAAAGACAAGGCAATTCAGACGTCCAGCGGAATCAGTTATTCAGAGATTCAATTAGATGACAATAATTCAGGATCCGAACTATGATGGTGAGCCTTGAGAGTGGTGGGCGATGGATGCAGACGATGGTTGAAAAGCGTTGGGGAATGGGAGAAAAGATGGGAGTTAAAGGACTCGTGGGTGCGAAGGAGAAAACTCAAGCGCGCGCAGCCAGCAGTCAAGTCCCAGGCACTTGCAGCAGGCTTGGCCCAGACTTATCACACTTTCCCTGTCTCACTTTCAAAATGAGCCGTGCCAGCCGACCCAGCACTTGTCGCAAGCGAAAAATGCGTGTGGCGGACGGTCACGGCTGCTAGCCAGATGCGTCCTAGCGGTAGAGACACAACTGGAATTCAAAGGCGGCTCTAGGCAGCTCTGGGTCAATTCAGGCTCCGATATTCCGACTATTGTGGGGATCAACTCTGCCCGGTCCAGACAGTGTTTCCCGCAATTCAGGTTGTTGTCAGGTGTACAATTGAAGCTTTAAGCCAGCTTACACGCACCTCGGACCTCTTGATAACAACGAGGCTTCAATTTGCACATCCAGTCCGATGTTGACAAGTAAATTGTATTCGGTCCCAGCCTTAATTTCATTGCCTGCTGACTTGACCACGTATTTGGACCACGTATTTGGACTTTGTAATTTGAAGGCAGTACATCAAACCGTCATACGTACCTCTACTTCGTAACTCCCAATTATTCCACGAAGCCTCCAGCAATATCGCATTCAACTATCCCAGGTAACTAGGAATATCACGTCAGCCAGAGTGAATCAATCTGTGTTGTCAGCTTAACCTGCTGCACTCCATACTGTCTTGCGGCGGCTGGATGTCATTGATGTTTGGAGCCTTTCCGCAAACACGATTCGCCAATGCTGTAGCTTCCCTTTGCAGCCCCACCACGACTACCTACTGCACGCGATTCCACTACACACGAAAAGACGATAGACGAATCGCTCAAAGCAGCTCTCTCGAGCTTGAAGTCACAGCATAGGCCAGCCATGGCCGTCAGAGGGTATTCGCTTCGCGATCGCCAGATCTCCTCCCTGAAAAAGATCCTCAACCTGAACGAATCGGTCGAACAACGAGAAGATGAGGATTCCGTCGCCAATGGACTTGCTCCGGCAGGCCCAATCTTGACGGCAGAGGGCGAGCCAATATGGAAGGTCCTCGTTTTCGACGATCTCGGTCGCGACGTCATCAGCAGTGTCCTTCGAGTGAGCGACCTGCGATCCATGGGAGTTACCATGCACATGTACGCTTCCAGCCTGTCATCGTCCCAGTCAAGCCGCAACGCTTGCTAACACCACTTCGACTAGGCACCTCTCGGCCTCGAGGCACCCCATACCTGATGTGCCAGTCATATACTTGCTCGAACCCACGCCAAAGAACCTCGAGGGTATTACAAGCGACCTCCAGAAGAGTCTCTACTCTCCAGCGTATATCAACTTCACATCGTCGATACCCCGACCTCTCCTCGAGGACTTTGCGGCGCAAACAGCTACAGCTGGCACGTCTGAGCACATCGCCCAGCTCTTTGATCAGTACCTGAACTTCATCGTCGCCGAGCCCGATTTGTTCAGCTTGGGGATGCAGAAGGAGAACACATACTGGGCCCTGAACAGCGCCAAGACCAAGGACGAGGAACTGGATCATGTTGTGGACAAGATTGTGAGCGGTCTCTTCAGCGTTGTGGTGACCATGGGTGTCATTCCCATCATACGTTGTCCGAAGGGTGCTGCCGCCGAGATGATCGCCGGAAAGCTAGACAGAAAGCTGCGCGACCACATCCTCAACTCCAAGGACAACCTCTTCTCTTCGGGCACGAAATCAGCTTCCTCCGCCGGGTCGACCGCCTCCCGTCCAGTGCTGATCATTCTCGACCGCAACGTCGATCTTAACCCCATGCTTTCTCATTCATGGACATACCAATCCCTCGTGCACGACGTCCTCAACATGAAGTTGAACCGTATCACCATTGAAACTCCGGTAGACGAGGAGAATCCCGCCAAGGGGGTGACGAAGAAGGCATATGACTTGGCTGCGACGGACTTCTTCTGGGAGAAGAATGCTGGACTGGGCTTCCCACAGGCTGCCGAAGCTATCGATGCCGAGCTGACGCGGTATACCCAAGATGCCGCTGACATAACCAAGAAGACCGGGGCTTCATCTATTGAAGATCTGCAAAACGACACAAGTGCGAGTGCGCAACATCTGAAGGCAGCAATCACTCTTCTTCCTGAGTTACGCGAGAGGAAGGCAACTCTCGACATGCACATGAACATCTTAGCCGCTCTGCTGACGGGCATCAAGAACCGCCAGCTCGACAATTACTACCAGATGGAGGAAAACGTTATGAAGCAGACCAAGGCACAAATTCTCGAAGTCATCAAGGACGAGGCCAAGGGGAACCAACCTCTCGATAAGTTGCGTTTATTCATCATTTGGTTCCTGAGCACAGAACAGGAAATCAGCCGGGCAGAATGGACGCAATTCGAAGAGGCTCTCAAAGCTGCCGATATCGACATCACATCTTTAGCATATATCAGACAGTAAGTCCTCCGGCTCTGGCCGTCCCCGCATTATCGCGTTACTTATCCCACATTATTCCACTGGTATGACTAGCTCCGAGAGTCTTTATTCCAGTGAAGTAACTTGAGATAACCTGGTGGCTATTTCAGATTATCCCATGGAAAATCGAGTTTGCTCCCTTGAGCATGATTGCTGACCAAGTCTTAGGGTTCGCGCAACGACAAAGATGTCTCAACTCACAGCAACCAACAATCCATCCCAGCCCACAGCCCAGCAAGGCAGTGATCTCTTCGGACGTTTTTCCAGCCTGTCCAACCGCTTTGCCGACAGAGTCAAAGATGCCGGCGTCACCATCCCCAGCGGCTTCAACCTTGACTCTGTCACCGGCGCTTTCAAGAATCTGATACCGCAGAACAAGGACCTTACAATAACCCAAATCGTTGAGTCCATCATGGACCCTCAGACGGCGTCGCAGTCGGCCCTTGGCAAGACGGAGGGCTATATGTTCTTCGACCCGCGCAGCGCCAATGCCAGGGGCACGATGCCGCCTCCCAGCGCCCTCCGAGCAGGCACAGGTACCACACCGGGCAGCCTGCCGGGCACCCAGGGACCTGGGGCGGCCAGTTTTGGCCAGAGAAGGCAGGGCTACACCGATTCCATCGTGTTCGTTGTTGGGGGTGGCAGCATGGATGAATACGGCAATCTGCAAGAGTGGATATCGCGGACCAGTGGGGAAAGAGCCAGCAAGAAAAGGGCCATCTACGGTGCTACAGAAATTATGAACGCAACTGAATTCGTCAAGGGTCCCCTTGAAAGTCTTGGGCGCGAGATGGGTAGTTAAGTAAATAGGGGTTATTCCAATGGCATCATGAGTGTTACACCGTGATATGATCCGTTTGACTCAACGGTGTAGTCAGGTCATCCCATGATGGACCCTAACCGTCCAATGTAGGAATCGATAGGGTTTTGGCTAGTGGGACCGTTACAAGGTTGTTTGTGGTACGAACAACCTCCTTTGCGCGGTGGTCGGTGATATCGATGCTACAAGGCGCTGCACCGCCACTGTGCTAGAAACACATGCCCCATTGCCACAGCATTGGCGAAGATCACCATTTACGCCTCTATAACAACGGCATTGTCTTTTTCACCAGCACTAGTCACGCCAGGGCCTTGCCAGGGTCCTAGGTATCTGGCATGTGACTCTGGCGCTAGCTCGGAGCTGTTGCTTGTTAGTATAAGAAGATAATCATTCCTGGCTGTAATAAACATTATAGATGCACGGCTTTAGTATTCTAAGTTAATTCTAGATTCTAACAACAGTTGTTATCATACTTCTAAGAGCATGCACCTGTTGAAGATCGCGGGTTCTCTACCCAGCATACCACAACCGACTTCTTAAGCTACGCGTTATCAGTTTGAAATTCATCACCAAATACGCCATTTTCTCATACGCACAATATACTCGCAATGGGTTCGCATTTCCCACTACCAAATCAAAACTATCCGACAGCATAAACAGCCACAATGCGTTCAGAGTACGGGAAATTGGCGCCAACACCACGGCCTATACGCAAGACTCGACGCTTTACTGCAACAATTCAAGCACCTAGGCATATGCGATCTTTTGGAACAGCCCGAACCGACCAGACTATCTTCTACAGCCTACAGCGTTTTTGGGTGAATGCTTCATGCATCGTCTAAGGGTGTCACCAGAGGCCACTGCAGGGCTAGTTAACGCTGTCGCTTTTCAAGTCATCAAAAAAATGGGGTACTATAGTTGCTTTACGTCACGTCGCGCATGAGCAATCGTCTTGTCTAGTAATGACTCCGGAAAACTACTTTTACTTCCCGGTGCCTGCATCGGCGTCGAATACGAGACGACGCCAAAGACAACGACGCGCTTCCGTGTTTTCTTACACTCAGATGCTGCTTTTCCCGAACATGTCTTCCGACTTAGCGAACTCCAACAGCATTGCCCGAGGAGTGAGTACTGCGCGGCCACCGGTGTGGAGGACTTCTTACAGTGCTATTGGCACCAGAGCAAACCATTATTTTGTTATAAATGTACTCGACCCAAGAAGAGCTATATGGGTTCTCTTTGACCGTGAAGACGTCGAGAGATGAGGTGCTCCTATTTCCCTGGTGCTTGGTAAAATTTTGATATTGCACCAGATATGCCGTCTGCTGTGGATTGAAAGGAGGAAAGGCAGAAAAAACAGACGATGCAGGATTAAATTCGGCAAACTCAACGCGGAAGGCTTATTTCTGTAAGGCCTGTCTTGTCGTGAGATGTCTAGGTTGCTATGCTCTTGATTGTTTAGGACTTGGATTAGTTTCATACACAGTAGATATAGCTTTCCCTCACTGTACTTAGTCAACACGCCGTCGAGGATGGGGCCACATAGGGCGACGGGTACCCGTCGCTCTTCCTAAATAGGTAAAGCCCTTCCGCTATCGGAAACGCATCAACTTCGAGACATTCTCTGCGTTTCTATACTTGTAAATAACGTCTTTTGCTTTTTTAAGTAGTTATTCTTTTGGTGCAGCTACTTCTTGTTATAAATAAGCATGGATTTATCTCTAAATCGAAATACCGGGTTTCCTGACGACTGCCTCTCCCCTTAAGGCGAATACGAATCTCGAGATGCTGTATTTAAAGCGATTAATGCGTGGGCAGCTTCAAGAGGTTATGCGTTTATAAATGGGAAGTCAACGAAAGAGAAAACCGGCAAACAAACAATTACGTACTTATGTGATCGGCGTGCTAACCCTCCCGATACCTCAAAGGAGCGACAACGGAAGACAACTACTCGAGGGGCTGGCTGTCAGTTCTCTGTCTTAGCTAAGTAATCCTTAGATAAGAGTACTTGGACCTTGCGACATCGTTTCGATCAACATTTCTCTATACATAATCACGAGCCAAGTGATCATCCATCTGCTCATCCAGTTCATCGAGGGCTTTCTGAACAAGATATGTCCCAGCTTACGAGCCTTACAAATGCTGGTATAGCTCCTAAGGATATCAGAACGTATATGCGGCAAAACACCACTTCTATCGCAACTCAGCAAGATATCTATAATCGTATTGCAGATGCAAGGCGAGATATTTGCGAAGGGCAGAGTAGTATCAACGCACTTGCCAACCAGCTAGATCGAGAAGGATTTTGGAACCGAATGCAACTAGGCCCAGATAACCGGGTAAAAGCTATCTTATTTGCTCATCCAGAATCACTGGCATACCTCCAGGCCTACCCAGATACCTTGATATTAGACTGTACGTATTAGACGAACAAGTACGGAATGCCTCTTCTTGATATAATCGGAGTCGATGCCTGCCAGCGATCCTTCTGTATTGCGTTCGCATTTCTCAGTGGCGAGACAGAGCAGGACTACTTCTGGGCCTTAGACCGCCTAAAGTCGATATACAAGGTATGAAATACTCGGTTCCCATCGGTTATCTTGACAGACCGCTGTATTGCTTGTATCAACGCTGTTGCTACCTGCTTTCCATCTTCTACATCGCTTTTATGTTTTTGGCATGCGAATAAAGCATTCCTTCGTCACTGCCAGCCAACTTTTACACATCAACGGCAAGAACGGCAAGAACGGCAAGGGCAACAGCAAGAACAGCGAGGGCAACAGAAAGGGCAAGGGCTTCAATCCTGGAACGAGTTCTACGACTATTGGCATTCGATTATGAAATCGCCAAGCGAGGAGGTCTTCTACGAGCGAGTTTCCAAGTTCGAACAAAAAGATCTTCCATACTATATCGAAGAAGTCGGATACGTTAAGACAACTTGGCTCGATCTATATAAAGAGAAGCTTGTAAAGGCTTGGGTCGATCAACATCCTCATTTCGACAACGTTGTGACTTCACGAGTCGAAGGCATTCACGGGCTACTTAAAAGCCACCTTAAAAGATCTACGTTAGATCTATTCGAAGCCTGGAAAGCTATCAAACAAGCACTATTAAACCAACTTACAGAGTTAAAATCTAACCAAGCGAAACAACAAATCCGGATACCCATCGAACTCTCTGGAGTACTATACAGTATAGTACGTGGTTGGGTATCGCACGAAGCTTTAAGAAAGGTCGAAGAACAACGGAAGCTATTAACGAAAATTTGTTTACCTTATTCGCCAAACTGCACGGGCTCCTTTTCTTTGTCCCAAGGGCTACCGTGTGTTCACAAACTCGAAGTTTTACTAGCAGAAGACCAGGCTCTACAACTTAAAGACGTCCACCCACATTGGCACCTAATCCGAAATGGTACTCCGCAGGTACTTCTAGAGCCTCATCAGTGTATCGATCCGATAGTTACGACCTTATCTTTGCCACGGTCAAGTATCAGGCGAGAGCCAAGCGGGTTCAAAATAGTTAAAGCGGCAACAGTATTAAGAGCACCGCCAACATGCAGCAAATGCCATATGCTAGGTCATACAAGGAGCTCGAAAGACTGTCCTTTGGGATACTCGGAACTTAGAGCACGGCCAGGTACCGCTTTAGAACAGTTACAGGTACCATCAGCTATCACTTCAGATCCGGCCCCTCAAGCAGCCACAGACATAGAACCATCAATCCAGCCACCTATTCAGCCTCCTACCGAAGCTATTCCTTCGTCGCCTTTGCCAAATTCAGGTTCATCTCAGCCTGTAAAATACGATAGTCCAAGGGCGATATACCAGAGATATATCACAGCAAGAGAGTCTTGATATAAAGTCCAACCTCTTGGAACCTATGTGAACAATCAACGATACCGAAAAGCGATAGGTTTACCATTACGATATGACAAGACAAGCTACAAATGGTGTCTTAATTATAACCGAATGACCAAACGTTGTACTACTTCAACAGGCTCAAGAGACTGGACAAAAGAAGAAATGATGGCCTATTTGGACTGGGATAAGTCAGAAAATGATCGTATTGACGCTCAAGTATCTCGAGAATTCGGAAATGGTCTATCAAACAGGAGAGGTACAGGTGAAATTTGGAGAAGGATTGAGCAGGATATGGAAGAACAGGAAACTTTGTATTCAAAATAAGAAGAGGATTATACTGTAGTTGATTTATGTAACAACATAATCACGATAGCAGTTGAGGCCAGGCATAGTCAGGTAATTCGAATGCTAGGGCAGATATGTACAGAGAAGGAAACTTAGCCCCTCACCTGTCCTCTGAGCTTCAGCTCCCCTTGTAGGGCGGACAGATCTGAAACCAATGATACGTCATAGATTCGTTCGCTGCCCGCCGAGCGTGGCCAAGCTCCCCGAGTATGACGGGTTCACTGCGAAACTATGCAGCTCAACATGGCCAAATACTGTTAATTATCTAACTGAGGAGGAAAGTAAAATATGCGAGCTCTCCCGGGAACACGGACTATGTTTTGTATGCCCTCGATGGTTCCTTTGGTGGATCCGGACGCACAGTCCTTGCAGCTCCGGATCCCATATCTGTCAGATAGGGCACCTGGTTCCTAGGTTCAGAAATGATATGGCACTGGAGAAGACTATTGTCACTTAAAGTTCAGAAGGCGAAAGGAACCCCTTTTGTCAAAAGTAACACCAAAGTTACTGTCCACTTAGGGGTCAGATACCTGAACAATGTACCTCTGATATTTTCTAAAAGAATCTATAAAAGACAGAGCAACGGGAGTTCGAGAGGACAGGGAACAATACACCTCATTCATATACAATCTTACGCACTTCTGACTACTCGATTGGACACACGTGATATTCGACAATATCAGGCACAGCCTGTCACACCGAGCCTAATTCTTGTGACAATTTATAGTATTATATTCTCCTAGTAAGGTAGCTAGTTATTCCCTAATTCATCCTATCTACGCCTGAAGAAAAAATAAAATAAAGACTCTCCAAGTCTCGAAGTTGATGCGTTTCCGATAGCGGAAGGGCTTTACCTATTTAGGAAGAGCGACGGGTACCCGTCGCCCTATGTGGCCCCGTCGAGGATACGAGT